GAGATCGGCGTTTGTGCTATTGTTTCCAATCCGGAGATTGTATGAAACATCGATATTTACCATCTTTTTCGAACCGCGGAACACTTTTTAGATTATGAATTTTTCGCGGAACAACAAATGAAAATTTCTAAATTTCGTGGAAACTATCAAATTAAGCAATAATCACTGTCAGGTTTTGCGTAGGAATGAAATTACAATTAGACCAATGACTCAAGTTGTAAAAAGACGTAAAAAATTCATTACTCCAGAGAACAAAAGTACACTGAAGTACCAATGAGATTAAACCAAATATTTAAAACTGGCTTTTCGAAGCCGTTAATATCAATGCAATTTTAATATGGTATATGAACTTGTTTAAATGAGCACGCATCGTTTATCTTGGTCTGAATTTAGGAAAGGCAAACACGTAGTTCTCCTTCAATGGTCGGTCGTCTTTCTGGCGTCAAAAATCCTACTTGTACTTCCACTATTGAATGAATTTATTGCTTCTTTAAGGGTATTCTACGAGTCGGGTTTTAAATTTTCCCAGCTTTAAGCAACTTTTATAATTTACATTACGAAAACGAGTCAATGTTCCCGAACATGATTAAAAATGGGGTTTGAGCGATAATTAAATTTAAATTGTTACGTTTCCCTTTACATTTAGCTGTTTGGTTATTGTTTCAACTTCGTGCAGATATTTATCACAAGAAACAAAATCTCCTTGAAAACTGTGACATAAAATATGCCAAAATATAAAAAAGAATTTGAAGACAACAACACGGAACACCAGCTTTCAGTCGTGGGGTTTGTAGATATTCGATTGTATATATGTTATCAGGGCCTTGTCTGTTTTTAGGTCCCCTTTCTGCGGACCGGTAGTAATCTTTCTGCGGACCGGTGATGGGCCGCGGCCCGGTGGTTGCCGACCATTGACTTATGGTATATATGTTCCGTTTCTATTTTATTCTATTTTATAGTCACGCGTTTGAATAGTGGGAATTCCCCACCAAGTGTGGATTAGCAATGCTTAACCATTCTTTATTGTTAATATCAACATTTGATATATGAACATGGAATATCATATTGTTTTTGGCTGTTTCATTTCAGATATCCATAACCTTTCAACACGACGATCTTGTGAAATTTAACGAAGAGCTTTCGCGACGAATTGGAACCAAATAAGCGAAAAGAGCGATTGATCACTGGCGCCATTACCTCGCCGTGATAATTAATGTCACGCTTATCAAATAGCAATATGACGACAAAAGAGAGATTGCGTAATGAACCAAAACGACGGATTCCTCGTGGACCGTTGAAAATTTAACTGCTATCATATATAATCAAATATGAGCCTGTGTGTTTATTCTGTGCGAGATCCATTTTCTATTACAAAATCTTGATGTTCTGTTAACGGTTTTATCGTTATATATCAGTCCGGATCGCCGACTTGAGTTAGCAAATAAATGTTGTGAGTGTAAAATAAATGTCACAAAATGCATTGTTTTGCGATATAACGTTGTATTTTCGGAGAGGGCATGTCATATAAGTTCGGTATTTAAATTAAACGCAAATAAATAATATTTGATCTAAATTTATCGCAAATAATGTTATAAACATTCAGTCCGCGAAATGATTGAATGTAAAATGAAGCATGGTAATCGGAATATCGTCAATAAGTCGACATCAATGATTATTATTATAAAAATGCTAACAAGGCAGTAATGTCGGATAATGCAGAAAACGCTGCAAAAACAAGTCTTCGTCGCGAGGAAATCGCAAGTGTAATCAAATGAGAGAATACGCTCGTCGTTGGTTAATAAATTAGAAACCCGTAATTTTTATTCAGTACTAAGGTGGTTTTAAAAAACTATCGTTTCCATAAATATCCGTATACCAGTGTCGGTAATAATAAAATAAAATTGATCGCATAAAAATGGGACGGTTAATTTGCGAAGGTGATAAAGAAAAACCAAAGCTAACACAAAAGATAAAAATCAGAATAAAATTAATTTGAATTCACTCCTTGATAGTTGTCTTTAACATCTGCCGCCGGCGTGTATTACTGCCAAGAATAGGAAAACCCAACTTCAATGTCCCATTCGGAAAAAAAGTGGATTCAATGGGATGTTACGATAGGTTTAAATGCGTGGAAAAATATCGCAATTACGGGGTCATTACGTAATTGATTTTGCCGTAATTACGGAATTGATTTTTGTCAATTACGTGCAAGCCTACTTGAGAATAAGCAAAATCTCAACAATATAGCAAATAACGTAAATCTCGCCATTTCGGATATCGCCAGTGTCAATGATTCACTTCATATTTTCCAAAAATTGATGTACACATATCACGGTAATATATAGCCTACCTTAGTTTTTTGCTATGCACCATGTTAGCATTGCTCATTATCAAGACATAACCTTCTACGCACTTATTATATCACTCAAGACTGCATGTGTTGCTTTTATCCGACTCCGACATAGATATAACACACGTTTCTGTGTATTTCAGGTGTCCGTCTGTTTGGTTCTGGGTATCCGAATCGTGGTACTGTGGAACTTTTAAAAAACGGAATAAGGGGAACAATCTGTGACGATGACTGGGATATCAACGACGCACATGTGATATGTCGCATGCTGGGATTTAATCGTGCAACTGCAGCGCTGGGGGTAGCGAAGTACGGACAAGGAACAGGACCGATTTACATGGACGATGTGCGATGCACTGGGACAGAATCCAATATTTGGTCATGCCCGCATATCGATGAATATCGCGAAAATTGCGCACACATTGAGGATGCCGGTGCTGAATGCGAATGAAAATGCAATCAGCACTAAACATTACATAATAAACTAGTGGTGCATTACTGTTAGCGCTAAATCTTTTCCGCACAATTAACTAAATATCCTAGCTTCCTTTTTTTAGATATATTTCAAAGCTTAAATTTTTTGTATTATATGCACGTATGTTTTCTTGTCTCCACAGCAAGGCTCAAGCATTTATTGTTGATTCTTTAATTGCATAATTTCATATTTGATCACTGTTAAAACTAACATAGTTCACCCTACCCAAAATCGAATTATGTGGTTGCTCAGCATATTTTATTGAATTCGTATTCGGCTCATCGCGATTGGGTTCAGCGATGCAATGTTTACGTTCAACATAAAGTTGTGACGCCAATGGATGTTGTATTATTATTACGTCATAACTTGTTGCTCTCCACATTGACTAGATTTGAGATTATTGCGACATAATGCTTTTCTACAAATGCTTCATTGCTCATGATGTCTTTGAGCTTCCTATTCGTTCTTGAATTAGATAGATAGTTTATTTTGAAAACTCCACAATCTGATCAGTTCGTCATCAGTTTTATATCAGATCGTTCGAAAAAACAACACCAACATGACTAACAAAAATTTAGCAAAATGTTCAATATAAACACATGACGTCACAATTGACCCGTTAAGACTTTAACACCACAATCAACAATAAATATAAAATGTCTTGCAAGTGTAATCGTGAAAACTATAGAAAAATGCAATGGCGTCAGGGAAAACTGTTTATTCGACTCTTTCACGCCTCTTACATTCTGAAGCAGTGATTCTCAAACAGCGGGGCACAAGGAAGCAGTAGACAATTTTGATGGGGCGTGAAGCTAGGTGACCGTACATTTGAACCCATGTGTTCTATATGCGGGTGCTAAAACCCATGGGTTAGGGTCAGTATGGGTTCAAATATCCGCAAAACAAAAAAATTTCCATAGGTACAATAGTATGCAGGTGCAATTGCCGTGGGTTCAAATGTACGGGAACCGTGGAGCTAATTAAAAACAAAAATATTCGTTAGATTTGATCTTGCTCGCCTTATTTTGGATTTTTGCTTTCTTTATAAATTAGAAATTGCGGGTTCATTCACGTACTTTCAACGTGTGTATTGAATAAAACATACTCACGCCTTTCTACTTAATATTTGTAGCTTATTATTAGATAGTTATTTTTCAGGTTGGGTGCAAGACTTGATAAATTATAAAAAGGAAGGCTTAAGTTTGAGAACCAATATTCTGAAGAAACATGGTGTTGATATCGTCTCAACTTGGCTATAATACTGCAGTATAAAAATACGTCATAAAATTATCTTTGTATATGGTTCTTACTTATTTCCACTTGTGGAAGTGTAGGCGTGCACAAGTATTTTGAGCACCATTTTCCGCTTTGTATAGTGTGTATGATGGTAACGTACAGATAATTTAAAGTCAATAATAAAAATATAGTGGGTTGTTTGGAATAATAAATAAACTTTGTTTAGGAATTGCAATTTTGGAATACTTTAGAATTAGAATGTCAGTATATGAGATACATTTCAACAAATACCCATTTGTTGTAAGATTCGTCCATTTTGTTATTTCCTATATTTTTTTTATATGAATTTAAAAGTGGAAAAAATACCGTCTAATGAGCCTGGGCAATCGCTCTATCGGCCTATTATTGTGACAGTCATGCTAGGCAATATCGAGGACGTCATGAACATTTTATTTCTGCGTCGTTAAAGAACATCTGCGTAGAATAGGATCCCACAAAGCGGCGGTTATTGAATTAGCTTAGACATTTTGGAGGAAAACAAAACCTCCAAGTACAGCCAGACACCAATTTGGTCAAAACCGGTCAGAACGTGAACTAAAAGTTTTAAACTAACCGAGTCAGTTGGATCCTTCCTAGATTGCCGCTACGATAATATGGTTCCGTAAACTAGAAACCGGTGTTGGACTAGCCAAATTATTTTACCCAAAATTTTATTTTAGAAGTATGAGAACACAAACAGTTATTGAAAAATTATTTAATAAGAAGTAGTGCTATTACGTTCGACATACGGGCTAGCGATGGCAAGGATTTCTGCTGTAACCTCCTATTATTCCTATGAAGCAATTCTTTCGACACGTTTTAACAAAAAAATGTTTTGCATTTGTATATAAAGTTACACTGAATTAAACTACCTAGCTTACTTACTGAATATAAGTTTGAAATCATCGATGTCGTGCCCGATAGAAAATGCGTACGTGACCTACGAGAATCCTTGCGCCTCGATTGCAAGACAAGATAACGCGTTGCCCGAGCCAGATCCAGAAAACATTTATGGCAACGTAGATCCATGTATGTATTAATCGTGGCTCTTCAGAAGTATGTGTACTTTGAGTGATCGAGTAACGGGTGAAAGGGTGGCGCGAAACACCAATACTGGTTACCGAGCAGCGACACCCGTGATAAATCTTAAAGTGAATAAAACAGGCGAAACATCAGCTTCTGTAAGCAACAACTAATAATTACCACCAATGCAAAGTGCTCTTGCGTACATCAAGTCCATCATTTTTCCAAATATGGTTCACGCAGCTGTCTGCGCATTGAGTTACCAACCAACTGTCATTTTTTCATAGATCCACAAAACAACGATCCCGTGGTCACGATTCAAGGTGCGTCATCGTTGACAACGAAGAAAAAACAAGGAATTTCGAAACGAATTCTTGTGCTTGTCGGGATGTTTGCGTTGTTACTGATATTAGCGATAGGCTCTCTTGTTCTAGCAATACAGGTAACTTAACATTATTGGGCGCTTCAGAAGTATGTGTAGTAACATGGAGGTAACTAATTTTCTTCGACCACTTTACATCAAGTTGTGTAAAGGGACGGAAGCCTATGGGCAGGGATATATTGGCTAACTCAAATACATATTGGCTAACTCAATTGGCTAACTCAAACAGTCCCTGTACTTGTAATAGAACTAAAATGAGAAAAATCGGAATAAATTATGGCCCAACCCTAACCTAACCCGAGTACCGATTATTGAGCATTAAATGTATCTATAAAATGTTTTGCTAACTTGATTGCTCACAAATCCGCGAGAAAATTTCAATTTTAAACTGGTGAAATGTGCAAAAAAGGTTGCCGAACACTGGTATGTATAATATTCTTACTAAAAGCATAAGGAATTTGCAAGTTTTAAATACCATAAGATATGCATTTCATGTTTTCCTTTCTAATTACAATGCTTATCTTCTGTTCCAGGCGATCACAAAGCTTGAAGAAGCAAAATCAGGTTATTAGAGAAGTAGAACCGACTTTACATCGACAGTACTATGATAGGTTTTTATTCAAAGTCGGTGTGGCTTGGCATTTCAAGTCGAATAGTGAATAATTCAAATCGGTTGAGTCGAAAATTTTGTATCGCCGCCGTCTTATTTTTTCTGTTGGCCATTAGTCGAGGTAATGTTGTTGAGGAAACCCATTACCAAAATAAAGTCACATACAATTACATATCTCCAGTATATATATCAAGTATTCGAGATTTGATTCGAAAAATATTCGATTTGATTGTGAATCATCAAGTATTCGAAATCGTGTGGAGAAATTGCTATTACGCCAAACACATGCTAAATGTGCGTTGGGGTCACATCATTGACTCAACAGGAGTTGGTCTCGAGTCACCATTAATTAAATCCACGAGTTATGTGAATGACTTAGACTCAACTTGCCCTAATGAAATTCAACGAAGTGTTTGACTCGATCTGCTGACTCTCACAACTCGTGACCTGATTTGGCTCATGACTCGGATTTATGGGATTCTCCACAACCCGCTAAATATGCAGAAAATCATAATAATTTGTTCTATTTTAGATATTGCCTTCTTGAAAATAGTCAACTCTCAACACAACGATGACTTTCAGAAAACAGCTCTGAACTTTTCTAACGAAATTGATGCATTGGCCGCCGCTAAACAAAAATTGCAGGAGCCTGCTCAAAATTTTTCCCGTGAATTTGACGCCTTGGCCGCTGCTGACCAAAGATTACAGGAGAGAGTTCAAAACTTTTCTAAGGAAATTGACGCATTGGCCGCCACTGATCAAAAATTTCAGAAAACAGCTCAAAACTTCTCCCAGGAAATCGAATCACTGCATGACGCCAATTCCGACCTGAAAGAAGACTTACAAAAAACTGTTAATAACCTGACCTTAGCCGATTCTAAGTTAGAAAAGTCAATACAAGAAGATGTGAAAAATATATCTGATATCAACCAGCTTGAAGACAATGTCCGAAACCTCAATAAATCTCTAGGCGGTTTGAAGAAAGCGGTGAACATAAATGGTAAGGTTGATTTATAAAAATGGTGACAAAAAGTACTAATAACTAAATCTTTATATCAGAATTGAATTGGCGATGAGGCGCATTGTGTTATAGGCACACCTTTGATTCCTCTGTGTGGGCTCGCAGGTTCAAATCTTGGTGGGGGGGATAGTTATGTGCGTTAGAATTGCTGGACTCCTCGCCTTGGTAGGGTGATTCACGTAACCGTTGGTCTGTCACAGCTTCCTCCACCATCAAGTATATGCACTTGAAACAATACCTGGCTAACTAATCCCATACCGGAAGAGAGGACTTGGTTCGCCATATGATAAATCCGTATTATAGGCGTTCTTCTCTCCCCGGATAAAAATGTAAATGCCCTATTCGAACCATATATATTAATATTTATTTAACTTTCATTCTATTTTTTACAGTTGTGCGTCTTTTTGGTTCTTCGTCTAAAAATATCGGGACTGTTGGAATCTTCAAATATGGAGAGTGGGGAACAGTCTGTGACGACAGTTGGGATATCAACGACGCAAATGTGATATGCCGCATGCTGGGGTTTAATCGTGCAACTGCAGCGCCGGGGGCAGCGAAGTACGGACAAGGGACTGGGTCGATTTTTATGGACGATGTCAATTGCATTGGAACAGAAGACAATATATGGTCATGCCCACATATTGATGAAAGCAGAGAAAATTGCTTACACAGCGAGGATGCCGGCGTAGCATGCGTTTGAGAAAAACGTTCTTTGATGATCGACTCTAACGGAACAAACAATGTGGAACGAACAAAAATATTTCTAACTCGAAATTCAAACTGTATCTCGATCCAAAATATAATGCAGTTTTGTTCGATGTTTGTAATTCTTTTTTTGTTAAGATATTTTGTAACGTGTTTATTTATCCATGAGCAATTTCAGAACTCTTTGATAAAGTTAAAATTTGATTTCGATTTCTTATTCATAAAACAAATTGATCATATAACAAACCCTTGTCTTGTCCTTTTTATGTCGGATATGTATAAAAATGTTTATTCATCTCAATAATTAGAAGTTATGATATATGGCACAATTACAAGCTGTTTTGACTAAAAACACAGTTAATCGACGTGTGCTCTTACGCTTTACTTTTTTTGGACACGTCAGTGTACATAACGATCGTTTCCATATTATGTTGTTGTTCTTGTTGGTATTCTTTTCTTTCGTCATGATGAAATCGCTTTTCTCTTCGAATATTGGACCAATTGCTTTGAAATTTTCAGTGGTTAAAGATTGATTTTTTTTGCCAGAAGGCTTTAATTTTTACTTATTTCAAAAACTTCTATGGACTTCAAGAGATTCGTTTTTTTTGTGTGTCAGAATAAAAAATGACGACACCTTGTGACGTGTCCATATATTTGAACACAGCTCTCTCGTTTCTCAGTATGATTCAATGTTAGACTCACTCCCTCATAGATGACGCTGCTCGATAACCATCACTGATTTATCGCGTCTCCCTTCACCCTGAAATGCATTGTTTTCTGTTTCCTAATTATGTTTGTCCAACGTGTACTTTTTGGCATGCACTGACTGGCTCAGGGCCGTATTTCCAATTAGGAAAGAGTTGGCTGAAACCCGTGGGCCTCGACATTTAATTTTGAGTTATTATATATTTTAAAGTCGTTTTTAAATTGTGAAGGATTAAATTATAAAACCAGTTTAAAATTTTATAAAACAGATATTTGTTTGGGTTTTTAATAAAGTCATCAAGTCAACCTGAATATTGACAAACATTTGACGCCTTAATCGCCGTTTGGTCAACGTGGAAAGCAACAATTACGACACAATACACAACATCCATTGTTGTCCAAATTAGTTTTTTAATCTTGCGAAATATGAAAAGTTCTTTAAAGTCGAATATGAATTCAAACGCTTTATTTTTAACTTAAACTTTGCATTGATGAGTGTTTTTAAATTCAATGAAATATACTGAGTAACAACATACTTTGAGTTTGGATGGGGGGGGGGGTTAATTTCATTTTAACAATAATCGAATAAAAAGTTGTAAAATAAATAAAAATGTGAGACTAAATAAAATAAACTTACTGGCAAATATTTTGAAGCTTTACAATGTTCGATATTGCATAGATAGGATCTCCGAAAAATATCGCTGCTTGAGTATCAGTGGGTTCTTGCATAGTTAAAGTGAAAGCATTAAAACGTAACATAAAAATCAAGACTTTGGTTACTGTATATCTAAATTGTTTGATGCTTGGATATTCAGTTAATTGGACGGATAAACGCTGACAGTAACGCACCCCTACCGGGTGCCAGGAATTTTCAAAGGGTGGTGTTTTGAAATTTCTAATTACCTAGTTCGACCGTAACAGGTAGCGGGTCCGATTGGAGGCTGGAGCCTGGAGAACCTGAGTTTCAGTAGCTTTGAGGATCCAAAAAGCGTTTTTAAGCTACGAACAATGGCTTTGTATGATACAGAAAAATGCTTAGCGTACAATGGATTTTCAAAGGCATTCAACACCTGCATCCCTGCTATGTCCGCAATTTTCATTATGTTCATCAATATGCGGGCATGACCATATATTGTCTTCTGTTCCAACGCAATCGACATTGTCCATAAAAATTGGCCCCGTTCCTTCTCCGTAGTATGCTTTGGCGCGTGATGCTGTAGCGATAGTAAATCCCAGCATTTTACATATCACATGTGCGTCTTTGATGTCCCAGTCATCGTCACAGATTGTTCCCCATATTCCATTTTTGAATAGTTCAACAGTACCCTTGGATGAATCATCAAGACGTATATCTAGGAACCAAAGATAAATACAGTATGAAGTATTTCACGCCACACTAGCTCAGCTCAACGTCGCTGTTTCTGCTTGGTATAGACTCGTATAAGCGAAGTTTATTCAACTTGATTAAAAAAAACTCTGCTAGAATATATGTGTCTGATAATATTTCGATAAAAGCTCACGGGCTGAAAAACCAAGTGTATCAAACAAACAAAAAAAGTATATTTTTTAACCGTGCGTGGGGGCCTTGTCAGAATAAATAATGCTATAACAATTTACATATTAGGGCGGACAATAGAATTGACAGATTTTCAAACGAGACAACTCCTCCCTACGAGCCATTAGAATATCCGACCCTGCGATAACCCAATTTCCGACTGTATACTCAATTTTAAAAATTGACGGAACACTTCAGTCCAATAGTGTAGGAATAAGAAGAGAGGAGTCAGAGTTTCACTGCGTTTGCATGAGATCAAAACACTGGTAGTGAAAAGTGAGAACCCCATAAATTTTACATATGGCTACTACCAGCATCGCCAAAACAAAATTGCAAACCCAATGCAGCCTCGTTTAATATTGACGCTGAATTAATATAAACTTTAGTGTGCATACCTCGTGATACAATCTTCCTGTCCACGATTCGCACAGAATTTTTTACTTCTTGTATATCGCGCTGTTTTATAGATGATTCTACCTTCATTGACTCCATTTCCACTTCAGCTGTCAAACTTGGAAGATCAGACGAAACACGGCCCCTGTCATCTTTCTCGTTCTCTTGTATATCAATGTCACACATACCTGATGGCTCTTCGATGGAATTTATTCTATCATTCAAGCAGTTAATGTCACTCTGTAGCTGAGAATCAGTGTCAGACAGGTTCTGTGCGTTTTATAAAAGGCTTCTTCAAGCTGAGAGTTCGCCATTTTTAAAGCAACGATGTCTGTAAATATAAAAAAAAATATGCACAATTGAAAAAACTGAAAGCAATCCACAAAATAATTTTATGTAGCCTAATTCACAATTTTTCATAGATCCCATATTCGCGCGTTTACTCGTTGCTAAAACAGGTTAAATAAAGTTTCTAAAGCTTTCTCTAGTTTATGGATTATCGAAATTAAAGACGACTTGTTTTGGAAGAGAATTTTATTTTTGACTCAGTTTAAGAAATTGTGAGAGGATTGAACATTTTCCAACGATCGACGCGCATTATCGCTGCTGCCCATGACAAGAAACATCATCCCGACTTTCGGTGAAACGCATATCACTAGGGTGACAGAATAACCCACGTGAGAAATTTTATTCAGATCGGTAGAGTCGTTTGTGGCCTGGGTGCTTCTGGACAACATACAGAACGACTGAGGTTTTCTAGTGTGGAGATACAACATAATCAAGTATTTAACCAAGTAATCAGTTGGATTTCAGTAATCAGAAGTTTTGGATTTTTTTTCCGCGTATTCGTTTACTCATCTCTTGTCAGAAGCAACTTATGTGTTATGTTGTTGAATGCATCGTGCTTAGCGTTGGAATACGCTCGCCAGCGCACCTCTGATTACCCTGCGTGGGTCCGCAGGTTCCAATCCCTTGCGGAAATAATGATGTGTGAGAGGATTGCTGGACTCCCCGCCGTCGTGTTACGGCTGGTCGGTTAAGGCTTCATCCACAAAGTCCACGCATCTGAATACAAATAACTCGCTAATTGGTAACCAGACGAGAGGCCGTGGTTGCCATATGATTGATCCGTATTATCGGCTTTTCTCTCCCCCGGGATGAATATGTAAATCCTATCCTTATATTGACAAACGCTAATCTCACCTGCTTTTGCCTTTTCAAGCTCTGCTACGGCCTGAATACAAAACAAGAACGTTACTTATTGTACAGGTTGAGAAATTTATATGTAGCCTATATCATATGCGTGGTTACCTTTGCTGCGAGGGAGAGAGAGCATATCACAGCTACCAATAACAATGCAAACACAACAAGAACCATCAGAATTCTTTTTGAAAACCTTCGTCTAACTTTAGCTGCCTTTTTATACGTTGGCTCTGTGTGAATTGTAATCACATCTTCGTAGTTCGATGCCTCTGTACAAAACATGGTAACGCAAATAAGAGCGCTACAGAAGTGTGTACACCAATATGGAGGTAACTAATTTTGTTCGTCCACTTTACATCAAGTTGTGTAAATGGACCGAAACCTACGTATCTAACAGGGGGTATATTCACTTGGATAACACAGACAGTCCCTGAACTCGTAATACAACTAAAATAAGGAAAATCGGAATACAAATCATAGCTTGACCCTAACCTGGTACACACACTACGAGAGTTCCCATTTCTTCTATTATTTGACTTTGAGGTACTTTAATTTTCGATTAATGCGAAGGCCTACCTGGATCTGCGTTGTTATAATCGTCTTTTGGCTCAGGCAACGGTCTGTCTTGTATTGCACTTTTGGCACCAGGATTCTCGTAGGTGACATATGCCTTCAATTGCGCCATCGTTGATTTAAAACGTATAAATTTTCCATTCGTATGTAACACGATATCTTTATAAAATATGTGACAAAGATTGATTCAATGGACGTTTCCCCGACCTTTGACCCCTTAAAGATTCTCCCTATACCTCATCATTGCAAAATTTCCATCGCTGATTTTGAGAGTATTTTGGAGTGTTGGCGCTAACAAACTGGCTCACATGTTCAAAACTATCATTTTTATTCAAACGTGCCGCTTACAGGTACTGATAGCTAATTATCGCAGCGTTAGCGGTATCAATTTTTGATTATTGCAACTAAACTAAAGGTTGTCGGAAGACATAATGACAATTAGGTCAATTGATTTACAACTATTTCTGGAACACAACTAAAAACTGACAAATAGCACGCAAAACTACCAAAAAGGTTTATAACTACGCTTGAATATCATCTGAGCGAAAGAAGTGTCTGAGCGGCGGCATAAATTGCAATTATTACATCATTATTAACTTGTTACTGATTTGTAATTAATACGGAAATAAACAAGGAAATCGATGCTCGGTAAAACATCCATAGACTAATATAACGGCTACATAAACTTTTTGAACCCAGCTACTAAGACTAATGGCAGCTCATCGTAATTAGTATTGCTAGATTAAATAACACGTCAATAACTGTTTGCTATATCAGAGTTAACAAACATTGAAATCTCGCTGTCAAGTAGTTTAATTAAGCATTCACTTAACCTCAACAAACGTAATGATTTCAAAATATAACTTTGATTAAATATTTATTCAAGGTCACATTAGCTGGCCACACTACACACTATGAAGATATTATTCCTTGTAGAATGTGAGTTAGCACTCGTGGCGTTAACATTTGTGATTTCTTGGTCGCTCCAGAACATTATTATATAGGGTTCAAAAAATAATAGGGTACTTGCCGTAATGTCCCCAAATTCGATGTTATTTTTCCAATTGAGATTTGAATTCCCTCCGACGTGCGGCACAGACTCAGTTTACAGTAACACGATATGAAACTATTGTGATCATGTTCCTATTATTTTTAATTCTCTCTCTCCCATTCATACCACAAAGTGGTCAAATATACTCATCTAATATTTACATATCAATATTCGTGAATAGCGTTAATAAACCCAAGGTAACTATTGAACTTGATTGTATCGAGGTTGACATACTGAATGGTCCAACCCAGAGCTTTTGAAAACCCGCCCCACGCCCCAGGTCCACGGTGCGGTTTATTGAGGGCCGCGAACAAATACCTAAACGACTACGGTCATTAATAGTGAAGTGACTGTGATTTTTTCTATTTTCCAAGGGAAGCCACATTGGAAAAATGTACAATCTAGATTCTAGAACTTATACAGCGTATGAGAACTATAGCGAATGACCAAAACAACAACCTATCATGAAAATTGTGATTTTTTGACTTTGCGGTCTCCTTTTCATATTTATTCCGAACATGGTTATTCAAAAAATCCGGTCAACGTTTTTGACTCCTCACACCCCATACCCTGAGGACATTTCTCGCCATCTCTCACAAATCTCTTCCAACAACATGATAAAAATGATAAAACTACAACGATGCCTTGGGGCAATAAATCAGTAAAGTAGTCTGGCAAGTAGAGAATGCAACGAATAATCATGTATACTCCAAAGATAAATGATTCTCGCTTGTGCTAGTTATATTCAAATCATACTTGATCGTATGGATATATTTCTAGAAGTCGTTCGCAGATTGAAAGTCGCTCTTATTGCTTTGAGCTAGAAAACAAGTTCAACGAAATATAGTCACGAGATAGTTAGTCGTGGAAAATCTCCCAGTTTGTGATTTTGGGAATTTAACCTTCGACTTAGTAATTGTAAGCAATTAACGAAAGTTGAAGATAGAATTTTGGAGCTTATATTTGTTTAGAAAAGAACGGAGGAATTGCAGTAAGGATAATAATATTATTTACTTAGGTGGAAACAAAATATAACAGCTATCACGAAAACAAAGATATTGCTGTAGAGGAGTTGCTGACTCGGGTGTCAGAATCAATTTTTTATACGACACAATGTCCTTTATAAACAACCATTGATATCGAACGATGTGTAAAACGTGATATTTTGGAACTTCCTACTTGGCCGACACAACTTGTTACACTTAGGGTAAGGTGGTGAGCATGGCTGTTGAACTTATAACCTGCGATGTAAACTCTGTCAGAGGTCACAGTCATGTTGATAAGGTTTCAGAGAGCACGATAGAGGTGCCCAGGCTTGTCATTTTATGGAAACAGAATAGAGAATATATACAACTACTGATACTGCTATCTTATTGATGAAAATACGAGTCAACTCAGCTTACATTATAGCCAGAAGGTGCTCAATAAATAGTTGGAAAAGTGAATAATTGATAAATAGATTCGTTCGTTCATCACTGAGTTAGTGAGAAAAAAATTATGGTACTCCTTAAGTATGCGCACCAAGATGTCGCACAACCTGAACCCTAACCTTGTACACAACCTGAGTTCATGGTGCGCATACTTCAGGAGGTCCAAAATTATCCTACTAAATGATGACGCAAAATATAGTGAGCCGCTTTAAAAATCTCGTGGTAATGACTAAAAATAACACAAACAAACGTATAGCTAGAGACCAAGATCTGATTTCTAGATTTTTAGGTTAAAATAAACTGTTTTATCAAATATTAACCCCAGTGCACCGGGAACAGTCATACTGTGCCAGATTATGACTATTCGTAATAACCTGCAATAATGTTCATTTTCTCAAACTTTACCGGGACGTTTTGTTTTGTTGTTTTCACTCTACTCGGTATCTGATTTCACGCAACTTCTCGATTTATTTACGATTGTAGTCAGAATCTTACGATACCTCGTTTCACCCAAACTCTTGTTCACCTTGGCATTCTAGTTTTGATATATATAATTACCAGTTGGGGTTACGCGAGACTAACTGCCTTTTCTTGCTAAGACTTTGTGCAGGTGGGTCGTATGCGTATAACGCAATGGTGCTGCAGCAGGAACAAAGATGACTATTTTATTTAATTCAAAGATGACTATTTAATTGAATAGACTAGTTTTGATACTTCTGAGTAAGATTCGAAAAATCTCAAGTTCAGTTTAGTATCGGAAGTTAACTTTATATCTTGACTTTATTTCAGTGCGATTGCTGGCTGATATTCTAATATTTAAGTAATGACTATTTGAATAAAGACTAAATCAATAAACTCTTCCAAATAATGGATGCGATAAAAATTACTTGCTTCGTGATATGTTTGTTTCACGTTGTGTATGGAGCTTTCGGACCGAAGCGGCTTTATAGCATGGATATACCAACTACACCAGTATCTGTGAAGGTGGGTGACTGAATATTCGTATTACAAGTCATTGAGTGGCTTCACTCGGTGGTCATTTTCTTGAGCTTTGACCTCATAAAAAGCCTTCTTATAAGCCAGCGGTTTCCAACTGCGGGTTGGAGGGGGTCACAATGCTAGGCACAAAACTGATTCCACTTTACAAGAAAACTTTCTTTCTTCCTAGTTTCATTGCTTTATAAGGTAATTTTACAGGGCGTTTTCGTTTTTTAAGCATGAATTGTTTGAGCATAAAGGGATTCGGAATCTACCAATTAAAATAACACTATAAATACCCCTGGAATTATAAATAGGGGGTCATGAGTGCAAAACCCCTCGGAAGGGGCCACGAGCCATAAAAGGTCGGGGACCACTGTTACAAACTATCATTGAAAACACTACAAAAAAACTGACGCATATCTAGCACTACGAAAACGAGCTAATGTTCACAGCCATGCAAGAAAAATTCGGCAAATTTATTGGTCCTATTTTATATCTATAGGTGGTTGGAAAAGATCTGATCATTGTAGGACCATGGTATATCGGAGGAATTTCACATGTTCATTGGAAGTTTCGTCAGCCAAGCAGAATGAAACCACGAATTATCAATAAAGATATTGCGAACCCAAGAGCTGTTGGAAGGATACCACGTAAGTGGTCTACTTCCTCATTGTTGTTTTTCTGATTGTATAGATATACTCAGAGTTTCCCAAACTTTTTCGGGCGCGGACCTCTATTTGTGAAACTTAGTTTTGACCCCATCATATGCCGTATCAATTTCTGTGCCTAACCAACGAGGGAAGATAATGTTTCATATATACAACAAACGCCATTATTATGATGGACGAGGTTACTTTTCATTGCGCAATTTATCAATTTGTGGCTTGTAGGTCCGACTCTACGGCAAGTCTCGACCTGTATTTTGTCATCATATTACTAAGAGCTGTAAATTCTGCCTCACACATGAAGGTCGTTGCAACAAAGCCCATATATACCTGGTTGCAAAAGGCAATAAAATTTTAATTGCCTTTTCTGACAGAAATGCAGATTCGAATACTTTCTTGTTTTTCAGCAAAGACATTCAAAGATTCTAGTGCTCTTACGTATTGGGCTGCATCATGGGGAGCGAACGAGACTAGTGGTGCAATGTACGTCATGAGGCCAACAACAACATATAGCAGTGAGTTATTTATATTATAGCAAACACGGGTTCCAAAGGGTTCTTGTCTGGAATTTAGTAAATATAAACCCGATCTTATTAAAGTTATCAAATGCATGAGGGTCTTGGCTGTGTGGTAAGGTACTCCCATAGTATATATATGTATCAGGTTATGGTTAGGCCATAATTTTATTCCGATTTTCCTTATTTTAGTTCTATTACAACTACAAGTTCGGGAACTGTCTGTGTTAGCCAAGTGAAGATACCCCCTGCCCATAGGATTCAGTCCCCTTAAAGTAGGCGAACAAAATTAGTTACCTCCAATTGGTACACATACTTCTGGAGCATGTGGTCAATATTAGCGTTAGAGGGGTTGAATCACACTGAATATGGTTGAATACGTGGAAAAGAATGAACAGAGCATAAATAAATAATTTGTGATCTGTATATATATATATATATATATTGAAATAGCGATGTTGCAAATGACCAAAAAAAGCATATATATTTAAGAATAACAAAAATGTTTCCTTCGACAGTATGGAAAGATATTGCAATCGATGCCGGTTGGAATTATGAAAGAGCCCAATGGGTTGATATGAACAGAGATGGAAGGATTGATTGTTTGACTGCACGTTTTCGGGGCGGAGGTAATTTTTGTCCGTTTGTTTTATTCGGCATCAGGTTTTCCATTTTGTACTGTTAAAGCAGTTGTATTTTAAGCTCCAATGGCCGATAAAAACCAGATTTTCAGACAATATTCAATTGAAATACAGCATGAGACTGCAGTAATGGAGGAAGGCTTAACTCCCATAGTCAACCGGTCTTCTTATCCTGTTACCACATCTTGTGCAGGGATAGTTTAAACGTATTCAATGCATGAACATGATTACTCTAAGAAGCAAGATATGATCAAATTTATATATTAAAGTCTATTTATAGCACAAAATTTTGTTCTTTTGGGTTGAAATAAAACGGCAAAATTTGGACAAAATATCAAGTCTTAAATAGAAAAAAATAAAAGTAATAATCTCCAGACGGCTTCAACAATCTTCAAGTATTGATTATTCGAAATAGACCTGTATTAGTGGCAAATAACAACGATTTTTTCTCATTAGCAACGATCATACCAGTTTTACACGCGAGAAAACCTAGTAACAGGTACTTGGCAAAAAAAAATCCAACCAATTTGTGTCCAAATATCATGCGCAGTCATGAGTATTCAAATTATAAAGCGAGAAGGCAAAAAATAATTTTTTAACTTACAGAGAGTAACTAATATATAACATCACTTATTCTTATTACAGTCGGTCAGCTTCTCTGGTTTCAACAACCAAAAGGTCAGGACAAATGGGGCCAACAAATCATACACGAAGGAATGGCAGACGGAAATTTTATTGGATTCGTCAAAGGCGGAAAAACGTATGTTTTAGTGGCCGGACTGCAGTTCAGCACATTGGGATTATACTGGACAATGAGTATGTCTTTGAGTTGACTTAGATTAGATTTTTCTGTGTATAGGTTATTTTGCACAACCATTCTTTTCAAATGAAGTTGAACACTTCTCTCTACGAGCTATAAATACTGGGCAAAGGACATATCACAATACTCTTATTCAACGTTTCTCAAACTGTGTTCCACGGAACACTGTTGTTCCGCGACTTTCTCGGAGTGTTCCGCGAGACAGGGATCGAAATTGCGACTAAATTAGTGGCCATGGCGATCTCGGCCTACTTCGGCGCCTCTGGGTCGTAAATTCGTCTCTCAACTGGCGACAAACAGGCAGACAGGCCTCGTGCTAGTCTGGGAAGCATGGAGTTTTTATCAACCGTTCAATATCGTTAACCGCCGGCATAATTTTTTGATTGTCAAATTTGCAAGTTTAATTTTACCATAAGCTAAATTTTTTGAAAACCACATGCGATGCCCTTTCCTTATCGTGTAGTGTGAAAATCTCAGTTTTTAATGTCATGCTCACCATTTTACCCAAAGTGTTATCAATTGGCAATGCCTTTCAGAAAAAAATTCAGTCTTCACATGATATATATAATATCATTCCTACCTAGCATCTACGGCAGCGGTGTGAAACATTTTTTGCCGACGGACCATATTACCAACTTTAGACATCCAGCTGGGCCACACAAAAATGCGGAATGCGGCTACCGCTTAGCCTTACAGTAATAAAGGCACCGGGCAAAACGGTGAAAGAAGTAACGCAGTGACAAGAGCAAAAAACATGTGTATTTATGTCCATGGGAGCATCTTTTTAAATATAAACTGTCCGATTTAGATTTGATGCCTGATTGTGAAAAATCTGAGTGTTGACAAGTGCCGCACTGAATAGTTTGCAGGGTCGGGTTGTGACCCGCTGGCCGGCAGTTGCCCACCCCTGATCTACAATCATCCCTATCTCTGAAATCAATGCTTAATATATGTGATTTACAGGCCGAACTAACCTCTGGTCGACCAGTCGAATGGTCCGTCATAGAGTTATTGACAACTACGGCAAATTTTATGACGTACAATATATTGATTTGAATAAGGATGGAAGACCAGACGCTTTGACTACGACAGTAAAGTAAGAGTACATTTTTGCCTTTTTGCTATATTGTAGAGAACATCAGCCTAACGACGAGCACAAAATGGCAGGAAAAGCACCTGTAAAGTGAAAAAACAAATTTTTACTTTATATGAGACTACATCGTAGGGCAATCTTTCAAACACAACTGCTTGTTAAATCTTGAAGAACCTGCTGTTCGACAACAATAAATGATAGTTTGATCGTAATTATGTAATTCCGATCTTTGAAAACATTTATCATTAGTGTTTCATGTACAGAATGACGGTGTTGCACATCGCGCTCAGCGCTATAGGAATACGCTCGACACTGCACCTCTGATTACCCTGCGGGGGTTCGCAGCTTCGAATCCCATAAGGGGTTAATTATGTGTAAGAGAATTGCTGGTTGGTGCCGGCATCCTCTACCATCAAGTCCATGCATCTAAAAACAACTAACTGATTAACAACTAATCCCACAACCAACATGGACTGGTAATCAGACGAGATGCCGTGGTTCACCGCATATGTTTAAAGTCGTATTATCGGTTTTTCTATCCCCCGGGATAAATATGTAAATCCTATCCTAATATCATCTTCATATTTCAGTGTTGGAAATTCTCGTGGACACGTTCTAGGATACGAGATTCCTAATGACATTCAAAACAAAATATGGAACAGAAGAGTATTAGCTGCAGGATTTCAGGGCGATTACAGTCCGGGAAAAGCGCAAGCATTCTGGCCGAATAAATGGAAGAGAAAGTAAGTTTCATATAGGTTTTGTTTTATAGGGGACGAATTGGTCCTACTTGGCGTGCCACACTCTCGTGTTATAAGCTTGAACACACGTTAACAGAGTGTAACTCCGATCTGCACTCCTTAAGAGGTCATTAAGCACACAATGTATTGTTCATATATTGTAAAGTTGCACAATCGAATTGAATCAAAATAACAGATATATTGAAATATACACTTAACACCTAGCTACGCGGTCGAAATCAAATTTCATTCTCACAAAAACATGAAAAATCCTATATTTCACCCTCGGACAATACCGGAAACACACGTCATAAATTGGTCGATACAAAGAGCGATTAATACAAAGAAAGCTAAGACTTGTCGCCATTATCAGGGGAATAGGGCATTGGCTACTATTCATTGAATTTACATACTATGAATACAAAGGGGTTAAACAACATTGAAGTCCATAGTTACAACCCACACTCGTTGCAGTTTCAATGTACAGAATTTGCTTGGATTTAGTATTAACGTGGTTTTTCACTGTTTTTGGGCGTTTTAGCAGGGTTATTGGTGTTTTTTGACGGTTTTTCCTTGTTTTTAAGCTGTTATTGATTAAACTCTTGAATCAAATAGTTTAGTCATCTATATTCTTGCTACAGCATCCCCGCGTCACACGCATACGGATCCACTTCCACAAAGGCATGGAAAGCTAGTTGGTCTCACTGCGTAACCCCAATTGATAATATTGTTTATTTATTTATATTTATGAGCTTTATTCTACGTGAAGGACGACATTTGAGACTGGTAGCATGTTATGGGCAAACGGAACCAGTAATTAGTTCTGAACCAAACTTGGTTGTCATTACTAAATTAATATGGGGCTCCCGAAGTATGCGAACCAAGATGGCGGACATCGGAATGTAATATGTGTACTAGGTTAGGGTTAGGCCATAATTTTAGGTATAAATACTACGGGAGGCTCTTGGCTAGTCTTCGAACTGATAATAGGACTAAAATAAGGAAAATTGGAAAAAAATTATCGCCTAACCCTAACCTGTTACCCATGTTACGTTCCGATGTCCGCCATCTTGGTTCGCATACTCCGGGAGCACCATTAATATAGTATTTCGTATCAGGATAAGTTGTCTACACACCGTCCGTAGTCTATAGTTACGGGTATAATGCCGAAACCTTCCCAGTCTCAGGCTAGGGTTAACATTATCTTGAATTTTCGAATTATGAATAATACTCAAATTTGCAAGCTTTCGGCGGAATTTTTGCCATCTAAGTCTTCATGCCATTTAGAGATCCATTAGAAGATCGTTCATAAAACTGTCTTCTGTAGCCACCCTCCACTCTAACCCAGTCCTGTACTCCTGTTTTCCTTGGACATTCATGAGCAAAACAATTCACGAAGATACCGAATTGCCATCGCTGATTTACATATAATAACAGCATAAAACAGGATAAAAAACTTATTCATTTTAATTCTCAGAGCCGACAGACCGAGTATCTTTCTTTCTGGAGCAGGACAAGAAATGTTATTTATTTTGACTCCAAAACCGGCAAGGACTGGTTGGGGTTACGTCAAGTCATCGGTGAGTATTAATTACATTGGTACTTATCGCTTGATAAAGCAATAACAGAAAATTATTTCCGGAATACATTATTCTTCAAGTTAGTGGGATAGCGAATCATGCATACACATAATAGAATTTTTTATTTGATTTAATCTCGAGTTACTGATAATTTCATCACATTTTCTGGTACTCATTCCAAGAGCCTCCTCACCGTCGTAACGATTCGTGAAAATCTACTGCACATCACTGTGTAGAGCTTTCCTAGAAGCGAGAATCCAAAGTGCTTATTAATGTGGTGGATTTGTCAATTTCGAAAGTCAAAATAGATAACTTTCATTATTGTAATGTTTTCCTTAGTTACGTGCGGGAACTGGAATGATTGGAATTCCATATATTGGCGACATTGACGGAGATTCGTATCCTGAAGTTTTTGTGCCGCAAGGAAATAAGCTGCACGTATTTTCGTATGGTTAGTAAAAACATGAATTCATTGAAATAAATTGCTCTTTATGTACGTGTTTTTTGTAGATTTTTCAACACAAACTAAATTTGGTTTCATTATTACTGGTATAATGAATTACTTAATTTATATATAATAAACAAGTAGTTATATGCATTTAAAAACAAATTTAAGATTCAGGAGTCTTAATACACATTTCCACTAATATATTTTCGAAACAAAGATATTTCCGTAATGCGAATGCTTTAGTGCACAGTCTTGTACCACCTAAACTAGTTAACTTCACTCTTACTCAGGGTTGGATTAACCATTAAACAAAATAAGCACGTGCTTAGGGCACCAAGAGAAAGGGGCGTCACAGTAATTTTATAACCGATTGTTGACACAGTGTTTAATGGAACAACTAGAGTTAGTCAGACGACACAGACCTCAATACTGACTCGATTGAAATGAATTTTTGCTTATTTTTCGTTCTCAAATATCATCAACCTATGAATGTTTGTATGTATGAGAACTATACTTAAAAAGATTGCCAATTTTTTCATCATTATTTTTCATATATAGGCCACCAAAGTCTTGAGTATCTAGGGCCTCTGAAGCGCATGATCCGGCCCTCCCTCTACTACAACACCAGTGTATACGGATCTACCACCGCAAAAGCATAGAAAAAAGATAATTCAAGAAGCAAATATAACATTTATTATTATTTTTAGACTACAACGCAGCCGTTGCAGAGCCACCCAACACAAAAACGAACGAAGAAGGAAAAATAACGCCAAGACCCGTCGTCAAATATCGTCCGCCATTTTTCAGACCAACTGCAGCTACTTTACCGCCGTTAATCCCAAGAAATGCTTCTCTCCCACGATTACCTGCCAGTTCTGGTGGCCTCAGCGGAGCAGCTGCATCATCCTTCGGATCTTCCGGAATCCTCCCCTCTGGCAGTGAGTTTGAAATTATCATATTTCGAAATAAATTTGGTAATTCTAGACGAAATAATTTTGCAAGAAATAATCGAGTATATAAACGAAAACTGAATTTTTAGCGATTCCAGAACATGGCGAAAATAGGCCTTAAACATAAGACGCAAAATGCCTTTTAAATCAAGTTTGATTTGGACTAACCAGTTAAATCCCTTTTTCCTACCCTGTTATTTACTAAGGGCTATGACAAGATATAATACCAATAATTAGAACAAATCTATAATTTGCAAAACGCATGCATAATACATTTGTGTTGGTGTATTATTTCAGATTAAAAAGAAAGAAAAATTCCAGTCTTTTTGAAAATAGCAGGTCCAGAAAAATCTGTGACTGCTTTGCGTAGACTTGCATAGAATTGCTTAAAACGTCCTATACGAAGTGTGCATATTGATCGTTTTGTTATTATGTTGTTGTTCTTATTATCGTTGTTGACATTTTCTCGTTATGAAATAATCGTCTTTCTCCTAAGTCCTGAACCCATTGCTTTGAAATTTTCAGTGATTAAAGATTGCATTTTTTGCGCACATATAAAACAAATCTCATAGAGCTCACACGAACTTTTTAAATAAATAAAAGTGATAGCCCTATAGCGACAATAACATAACAACAACATAATACATCAAACGATCCATATGTCCACTACGTGTCCAATAAAATAAGATGGTGATATTATTAATCGTGTACATATTAATCGTGTATTATTCCATAATCCGATATTGTTATTTTTACTATGTAGACGTACCAGGAACGGTTGCACCGCTGGGAAATTTGCCACCGTTGAGAACAAGAGGGGGAGGATCATCAGGGTAGGTTGGACTTATATTATTTTCCATATACAATTCATATATTTAATCGCAGGACACAAATATTCCGTTTGCAGTCAATACATGCTTTCTTTCTACATAAATCATAAGATTAAATTCCTGCTTTGAATTACAGATATCTGTGCTATGTTATAGATGTAGAATAATTGTAAAATGAATTCATTTAGGTATTGTTTTTACTATTGCCTATTATTTGGGAACTTTCTAAAATGCGTAATAAAATAGTAACTGTTACAACCATTTCTTTATGCTCTTTCAATTTTCCCATTTTCTTCATATTTTTTGTTATTTTATTCGCCTGTATTTTTAGCGGATCTGGTCTGCCGGCAAATTTCCCAAGAAACCATCCTTTGTTCACTGGCTCTAATGCGGGATCTGGAACTGGAGGTAATGCAGGATCGCCGAGGAGACAAGGTGCGGGTGCAGCAGCAGGAGGTTCTACTGCAGGCGGAGGCTCGAATGGACTTGGAGGATTAGCTGGAACTAGTGGTGGTGCCGTATCCGGAGGAACCGGTAATTCCGGTGCTGCTCCTGGCACTTCCGGAGGATCCGGTGGAACATTTGGATTGTGGCCTGTTTTAACTCAAAACGGTCCAGTATACATCCCAGTGCCAAATCCCCAACCTAATCTACCAGTGGCGCCAGTTGCAGCAAATTCGCCCGGTAGTGCTTTAGCTGGTGGAAACAACAACAACCCAATAGTTCCCGTCAGATCACCAAACAATCCCATTGTTCCGATAGGTGGAGGCACATCTGCAAACAATCGCATCGTTCCACTGGGTGGCGGCACATCTGCAAACAATCGCATCGTTCCACTAGGTGGCGGAACATCTTCAAACAATCCTGTTGTTCCACTAGGTGGTGGCACGTCTCCAAACAACCCAATTGTGCCTATTGGAGGTAGAAGTCCATTATTTAATCCAAATCCGTTGAGTTCAAATCGACCAATTGTACCACTCGGTGGCAGTAGCAGTAATTCTGCAGGAGTTGATGGGAACACCCCCATTTCAAATGAAATAATTCCCATTGGGGGAAGTCCAGACACCCCTCGACCCCCAATGCAGCCTGTTTTCGAAGATGAAACCGAACCCCCCGAGTATGAGGATTATTACACAGACCCTAACGGACCATATGATGAATACTATAACCATGAAGAAACAATTGTTGGTGAGTGATTTCTAATCCCTTTATTTATGTTTGTAATTTTGAGTGCAACGTTTTGAGATGGCCCACAGGCCTATCAAAAATTGCTGGTTTTATTTTTGTCACCATAGTTAATTTTGATTATAGTAACTGTTTTCTGATACTGGATGTAATTTTCATTCTAATTATTAACGTAAAAGTGCCCATTATTGCACGAAGATTTAGTTTTTTCTTGTTGTTTCTCCTTTTCATAAAAAAAGATAATAGGCCACAAAATTTTTGTTGATCAAAACTGGGCCATGAAAGTAAACTGTTCTAAGCATTAGGAACGCGCTTGTCATCGCTCGTCATATGATTAAATCATTCTATCGGCTGTCTTCTCCTCAAATATAAAAATATGAATTGGATAGACCAATTCTATAATTACAATTTTCTTATTATAAATTCTGTATTTTTCAGAAAAGCCACCGAATCTCATCCTTTCCATAACTGAAGATTCCTATCGCTATCGGGAAGAAGCCGCAGACGCATGCGCGTTTGAGAATAAAATATTATGTAGTCTTCCACAATTGGAAGCAGCTAAGCAAGCTGGGCCAATACCTCTCATTGAATGGGGATGGTTTGGTATGGAAGGGAGAGCTGCCGGTATACATGACTGTTTGCCAGGTAAATGTAATTAACTTATTTTTTTACAGAAAAAACGCATTGATGTGAAAATTATTGGGCTCAAAGCACTATTACCGCTGATTTTTCAAGAAAACAACGCTTTTTGGCTGATTGGGTTATTTTAGTTTTGGATTTTCGAGTTTAAATTTGGCGTTTATTGATCCAAGTACTTTTTGGGACGACGTACGTATGTAGGAGTTTTAATCTTTCGCCACTTTTTATGGTATCACGACCTCTATTCTAGCGACAGTTCGAAAACATTTAACATAGTATTTGAAATATCGCTGAACGCGTATAGTGTTATGCTCTTACAACGAGATAGAAATGTCTAACTATGCAAATAAATATGATATTTAACATAAATTATTATTTTTTTCACAGGCGAAGTCAAATGGCAAGGTTATAAATGTCATAATGGTGTCGTTGGTCACACTCCAGTGCAGCTATCTACAGCATTGAAAGGATATTGCTGTTCAATCATGCGTGGCGCAAATGTCACAGATAGAAAATTCAGGTTAGAAAACTACCCTTCAGTATGTTAAATTCACTTTTGACCGTTTGGTTAAAGTTGAAATGCTGTTATTGATTAAAATCACCGTTTTACTCGTATTATTTGACCTTCTTATACAGAATGAGATTTTTATCGATATACCATTGTAACATATATGCAATGTTTTACACTTGAATCGAACTCGGTCGAACCTATTTCCGATTGTAACGAAAATCAGATTCAGATATTTTATTTTTATCATGCAAAAATCAATGCAAGAAAAAAGTGTATAACAGAATTAGAAAAAAATGAGATTGAAAATTCCTTCCAGCTGAATTGCGAAACTATAACATCTTTTTTTTCTAGTAATTTGCTTTCACGATAACCGGTCGTGAGGCTTTTGTAACATAAAATCTCGATATGAATCAATAATTTATACCTGAAATTTCTTTTTTTTAGTAATTACCATTCTGCAAAAGAAGGTTGTGAGTCCCTCGATTCACATATTTGTACATTGGAGGAAATGTTTGATGTTTGGGAGAAGGTACGTAAAGTTTTCTTGCATATTTCAGAATAACATACTTTTTGGTTTCAAATAAAAAATAATATTATGTGCATATTTTTTACATAATAACCACTGGTACATTGACCCCAAATTACTTATCTACAGTCTCTGACACGGCACCTAGCTAGCAACCTAAAAGTTAGGAGGAGCTGGCTCTGATGACCACATGGTCGTATTGCTCCTTCCAGTCTATACAAAAAAAAACTTTGTGTATGTTATTGTATATCTTTTTATTGTTGCTGGTATTCTTATATATATATTTTAAATTATATTATTTGAAAAGTATAACAGGCTATGTATAATTCTAATTGCGTTTTTTTTTCTCAAATTTTAGTCGAGTTACAAGAGCGATACATGGGGATGGTACAACGATGATCAACACCTGATTAAAATGGTTCATACTTGCGATCCTAAACAAGTTAGATGGCCTGGATACGAATGCCTATCTCGAAAATTAGCCACGTCACAGATTGTCAGTTTTGTTCAAGAAAGCGCTTATTGTTGCAATGGCAACTCCGGTGATGTCATCAAATCAAAGTTTTCTGTACTCTCGATTGCGTTTATTTTGTATTATTTTACAGTCTTTTTAAATTGTGAATAAATAAAAACCTACTCTTTATCGTTTGACTGAAATATTTTAACCTGTTTCTAGATCAACTCGTCCGCTCGTCATTTTGAAACTAAGAATATCTAAAAATGCGCAAATATCAACTCGATTTGGTGAATACATGTGAACAGTTTTAGTCACACATTACAGAACTAATTAAATATTGAAATAAAATAATTTTTAGTCTGTCTCTGTACTTTTTTCTCATTTTATTTTATTAATTCTATGAATTCTATTGTATTAATTCTATATAAAAGCCTCGCTTGTTTTAGCTAACTTATATTATGTACAATAAACTGATTTTTTTAAGACTTGTTTTTTTTCCAAAGCCTGTTTTGGGATCATATAAGATTTCAGCATCAGACATATTTTTTAGCACTCATGTATGATAGCTTGTACTAGAAATTTTTCCGATGACTAAGTTTACCCCTTTTCCCGTCAGCGCCATAAATTTCAGCCCCCGAAGACGTACGGATAGCTGAGCTGTTGACATTGAATTAGTGAAATCGTTGTCATATATATTCGTAAAAAAAAAAAAAAATTCATGGTTCCAACTACGGTGGCTTATTGGGATCTGAATATTGTAGACGCTCGGATAAGCACGCAAGTGAATTATAGATTATTCTAAAATTACTGGGCCACGAAAAATGTGTTTCGACAAAGATACACACGTCCAACGTTCCCTCTAAGCTGGCCGAGAATCTCCGCGAAGTACTTTCGTTCTGCCGCGCACTGCATAAGTATTGACAACAAGACAAGCTAAATACATACTTCATATCGCGAGCAGACCTTTTTTTGGAGCTCACATGGCCTTCTATTCCGCGCAACTAAGCAAGCACTTAGACTTAGAAGGAACGTTGCACACGTCACTCATATAGTGCGGCCTGCCCAGGCCAAGGAAGTGGGAACTAACAACAATTCCAGCAATGAGCGTTCCAGGCAACTCCCCATCACCGTCTACGTTATATTGCCGCCCATATTGCAGACCTCCTACAGACATCGGAAGTACAAGTAAGCCAAAATATGCATGGAAACTAGTTACAAGAAATTTTATTGAAAGAAAGAAGAAAAAACAAAAAATACTCAGAACTACTATTTGGGGCAATAATGGAAATAGGAATTTCAAAAATAATTTCTATGTATTTGGTAGCTGGATAGCAGGCTCAACTCTTTCAATGTTATATGTTTTTTATCATCTGACTCATGTATGTATAGCATGAATTCGTGTAAATATGCAGAGATTAAGTTATGTTAAAGTTAAAACAGATAAAATAGAATTAATATATATTGCTTGGTGGAGAAATATCACATGATTCATATTAAAGTTTAATTTTTTTTAAATCAATTTGGGGGTAGCTGCACAAGTTTCAAGTAATTAATTAACTAGGATAATCTTTATGAGGAAGAGCCCCTACTACCAGTCATATTTTTGGAATGACCTCATGATAATTATTGAGTCATAAAAGTTCAAAAGAAACAATGAAAATCCTGATTCAATTCAATGAAGGATGACCTCAATTCACATATGATGTCATTATAGAGCAGATATTAAATGATGAAATATTTTAGAACGGAAATTCAACAATTACAAAAACTATCACAGGAAAATGCAGGAAAAATATTAAAATGCACTTTTTTACACAATTATTCAATGATTTTAGATATTTTTTTCTGATCGAACATTACCGTATATTTATCATACTTTAGAAATATGATTTATATATGGTTTGTGTATTATCAGAAAAAGAACTCATATTGAAAATTGTTTCTCTACTTGTCCACTGTTGAAGTCAATTCTGTTCTCAGGCATCGAACAAGAGCAGGACCGAGGAGACCGCTTTCTGTGATAAAAAGTTATAAAAATAGGTTAGAACAAGAGTCGAATTGGTTTAATTTGATCCTTCTATTAGTCTTAGACCATTTTTTCAGCAATTTTCTAGACTTTTGAGCGTTAAATTGATATTAGCTCACTCTAACTGCGCTGACAGTGTCGGCTAGGGACAAAGGAATAACTCAGTTTTACAAGTCACATTTGGCTATAATAATTTGATATTTAGTATTATATCGGAGCGCCATTCTGCATAATTACTTCTTATCGCTATTATACGATAAAATATTCCTTAATTGAGAGTGTTTACCTAAAAGAATCTATCAAATGTTTACCTTTGAGTTCCAAGAAAGATACAAACTCGTCAAGAAGTTCTTTGATGTTATCTTCACCAATGGCTAACGTGAGGTCTTCATCGGTAGCTCCTGAAAACGAGAACAACAAAATTTACTACCGTTGCCCAAAAATTATGACATACGTTAATATCTTTGAAATTTTTCAGAATATTATAATCATCTCGCGGATTTACTGACACAAAAGTGTGGTTCGGTTGCAATGACGTCATATTTCGCCAGTCACGGGTGTTGATCATGTTAGTCTTCGGCTTTTGAGCGTGCACTGTTACGTTCGTCGTCTGCGTATTTTCGTTTTCTAATCATCATTTTCAACTCAATACATAGTGGGAAGGAATTTTATTCAAACCAAGCAAAGTGGACCAATGAGGTATTTCAATATAACATTTATACTATGTACCAATATTATCTATGCTCAGACATATTCACTACTGTACAGACATACGTCATAGACACACAATAAGTAGCGCTGTAACAGGTCTCTTGGACCAAACATTTCGAGTGCATCGTTCCATGAAATTTACCTCAATGTATTAATAATAACACATCTGGATAATGCAGTGCCCTCAAAATGGGAACGTCCAAATTTAAATGATGGTAAATACATGCGCATGCTAGTTTTGTCTTTCCACCTATGGTATAGTTTCTGATGAGCGTGTTGTTTACGGAATTCCTGCGCACCAATCAAACAGTTGTCAGATGATTGGTCGCACCAGCGCATCGTTTTGCATCTTTCATTGCGGCGTGTGGATCGTAGAATATTCGGCGCGTAAAGTAATTTTAAGTCGACTGCGTATGCTTAATTTTAAAGTTACAGATTGTGAGGAACGCGGGGGTCACAATGCTAGGCGTAAAACTGATTTTACTTTCCATTTCACAAGAATACTCTTCGTTACTTCTTAGTTTTATTGCGTTTTCACTTTTTCGTGCATGAATTATTTGAACAGAATGGGATCTGGAATCTACCAATCAAAATAACGCTATAAATACCCCTGGAATGACAAACAGGGAGGCCATGAGTGCCAAAAGCATCCTGAACGGGGCCACGACAAATGAAAGGTTGGGAATAGACTCTAAATTTCTGAGCAATATTATCTTATATAAATTGACGATCGAAATATCACCAAAACCTCACAGCGCGGGTATTAAAATGCAATGATTGCCCAGAGTTAACGTTACAGCCACTGTCGCCTAATTTCAAAAATATCCGCCGTCGATTCATCGTTAACTGCGGACATGCACAGGCTCCATAACAGACATATGCAAACCGTATTATGTTTACGATATTATTTTAGTTGCGGAATAAATTTATTGCAGTAGGTGTTATTTTAATTGACTCGAGGGTAATATTAATAATGCTAAAAAAATTGAATAAATTCACGCGGTTGATTGGTGCTAACGAGTATTGATTTTTAGAGAATCAATCCTTCTCCGAGATAATAATCTGAGATATTTTACAACCAAATTAAGGGTATTATAAAAAGTTGGTGAATTCACTAAAAATTTGCATAAAATGAATCATTTATATGTTAATGATGCGGAATCAGTTTGGCGCAGGAATTTGATGAACCAGATTAGAAGTCATGGTCCGCTATATGATTAAGCCGCCTCGCTGCTTTCCTCACCCTCGGGGTGAATATGAAAATTTTATATTTAGTCGGAAAAATGAATTTTGATTCAGTAATTTCTCCAGAGCATTTCTGGTACTTTTATTGAGGTTTTAGAATTAGTTTTATTTTTGAATGCTCAATCATGCGTTAATATTATTTTCTATGGGATTAAACAGGTTTAATGTCAGTTTTGATGTTTTTTATTTTATTTAAAAAATTCAAACCTTACTGACCTTGTATTCCGTCTCTTTTTCCAAACAGCTTTTGAAGGGCATCTGTAACAATAAAACATGAAATGTAATCAGCAGAAATAGTTTTGCTCCAATATGCCTATTTTTTAAAGGTAGTAATCAATAGAAACATAACAGTTGGGAAGGATTTTATTTAGCAATATCGAAAATAGAAACAAAATCGAATCCTTTCTAAGAATTGTTTATGAGCTTATGACTGAATATTCATTAAAACCGAGAAAGATTTTTATAGGATGCATCACGTAAATGGCGATAGTTGTTCTATTTCCGTGAATTTTAATTAAATATAAATACAAAATAATAATTTGGTATATAATGAGTCAAGCTTAGATGAAATATACACTATTGGTATACGTTATTTTTCTTTTTTGCTCGAAGAGAACTGGAAACGGTGTAATAACTTGTGAATGTAAATTCATGTAACAATTAAAATCAGACGGCAATAATAGATGTGCTGTAAGTGTGTTGTTACTTCAGTCAACTTTACTCATTCTACCACTGGTCCGCTTATTGCAATCGTCATAAATTCGATATGTGTTTTTTATTTTATTTAGTAACATTTACTTGTGTTATATTTTACTTTAGATTTATTCTAAGTGTGCTTTAGATTTAGGTTGCATAAACCCTTATATCGAGGTTTCCAATTCACTACACACGGTCACCAGCGACGGTACTGGCGCTCGTCCATCCCCATTTTATTTACTTTTTAATAGCAGATAGTTGTTCAATTTGAGTTTAAATTGGATACGAAAAACAAGGATGTCAAGCTTAGATGAAATAATATACACCATTGTTAGACCATATTATTCTATGTTGCTTGAAGAGAACTGGAAACGGTGACTAGCGACGGTCCTAGCGCCCGTTCACTCCCATTTTAATTATTTTTCAATTAGAGTGGATAAGGAGGGGATACTTGATTCCAATAATGCATTTGCATCCCCAATTATTTTGCTTTCGAAGAAATGTTCTGCTAAGTTTTCCATTAACAAGATTGTAATCCTGTAATTTGTGACAAAGAAGGCACTTAGATCATGAATAAATAATATTATTCTGTTTTAATGGCTGTATTTGCCTTTAAATAGTTATATTTAAAAAGAATCAAGCTAGAATTTTTGAAATTGTCATTCCAGATGTTTACAATTAACATATAGTTAATCCACTGTCTTGAAAATGTATTCTACAGAGATCATTTTCTTCCCCGAAAATCATTTACAGCAGCTCGGTTTTCCGTTGTTCTACCTCAAAATAGAACTTTATTAGAAAAAATGGTGCGTTACTGAATATAACTTTAAATTTGCGTCTTTAACAAATTTTTGAAATTTTTGGGATCTGATATTACGCGCTATCACTCCGCCGTATTCAAAATTTTTATTTTATTAATATCGAAGAAAAGAGATTTCGAGCGAAATTGTAAACATTTTCGTGCTAGATAAATAGTGACCAAAATAAATAATCTTCGACTCACCAAGTCCAGCATTGTAGCCAATGCTATTCATGGTCCATCCTCCAGTTCCGCGGTAGGGTCGTTTGTTACTGCTTGGCTGTAAAAAAAAATAATACAATCATTTAATTTTTTTTTTTAAACAACATGAATTTTTGCAAAGCTTGAGGACATACATTTGAATTACCGCATTAAATTGATTTATCCCTTAAAGCATTGACACAACTTTTCAAAAATTTTCGTAGTATGGATTTCATTTTCAAATAGGCGGTTGCAAATATACAGAAACAATCAAAAAAAATTTTACGAGAATTTAAACTTCTTTCAGTTTTGAAAGAAAGATATCAAATGTTACCAAATTCTCGCAGGTCACGTGCGTCAGAGTTTTATAATAATGTCCCAATCTTTTCAAGCCTACTCATGACCCTGTCTTAAAAATTTCTTTTTTACTTTTTCCGTGAGCGTTATATATTTTATGCTTTAATGATCGAATTAAGCTTTCCTAGCTGCGAAATTGCGTAATATCAAATTCACCGCAGTTATGACAAGTTTTTAAGTGTGTTTGACCAAATGTTGAACTTTGACAATATTCTAAATTTTTCGTAATTGAACTGTCAATGGATTTAGATTCATGGCTTTCTTTAGTTTTATACACATATTGAGAGTTACATAGAAAACTGAATATCTGTATCTGCTTGGAATCCCTAATTAGACGAACGAAATTGCAGGGAATTAGAACCAGTTTGAGCCCAATTTTATCGTCATGATTGTTGAAATTGGGGAGAATATTAAATTTCCCGAAGTGATTTTAGTCCCCTTATTTCTATTTTAAGAGTTCGATCTCCGTCTCGGAATGACTAACCTAGAACGAGCACTTAGATATTGAACTGCACCAATGTCGGTTCATCTATGTTTTAAAATGGCCGTCATGTTATTCATTAAATTTCAAAGACGTTTTTATTGAAATGCAAAAAATTAAATTCAAATCTGGGCTATACGCCACAAGCAAATCAATTTCAAGATAATGAATATTGAGGAAATATATACTAAAATGTGTACATCTAAAATACTACTATAGTTTTGTTGGAATTAGTTTTCGATTTTTTTGTCTATATCGGGTAAAAAAAGTCGATAAGACTATTAGCTGATTTAAGATTACTTATACAGGGCGTCCAAAAAGGCGCCCGACTTAGCAGTGGTACCAAATAAAAATTTCTCTGTCTTTATTTATTCATAGTTCTTATTTTGCTTGCAGTGCTTATTTATCATACAATAAAATAGTTATTGCTTAAAAAACGGGCGAAATTTTCAATAGTTATTGCTGTGGGCGAAATTTTTTATATACTGTAATTTCTTAATTTTTCAGATATGGCTCATTTGATATTTTAAAAGGTGCTTGAGGTGCAGAATAACTTATAAAAATTTCTGTCTTAGATTTCTGCAGCGCATTATGTAAATTTGTGTGAAATACAGAACATTGCGCCAAATGCTTCAATGAGCGCTAATATTGTACTAAAATTTCGCTGGGCGAATCTATCTTGAGTTTTATGCCGCATTCTTACGTTCGTCAGAGCACGGCAAACAATGGGTAATTGGGATGAACGTTTTGTGATATTTGTGAAGCGACACGAATGGGAGATAGGCCTATACCATAAAGCTTTATCATTTGATAATTTCGCATTGACAAATTGGATTCATTAAAACTGTAGCGCGACATATTTGTGAACAAGGAAGAAATTGTCCTTTATGTTCATTATTTACTGTGTTACCTAATCTCAAACTGTATCTCTGTGCAGTGTAAAAAAGCTGGTCTTACCGGCTTGCGGATATGGTTATATAACGGATATTATACCATTATGTTCCGTGTCCACAGATCTCACCGATAAAAAGTCTAAATATTTTTTACCCATCGCCGAATCTCAGGCACAGCAGATAGAAGAAATTGTGCGTGGTATCATTTGCTTGGCCTAATTTCCATAAACCTATTTCATGGATGACATAAACCAATTGGACAAAAATGCGTAACCGAATACCTTGGCCACCAATTCGCAATCGTGACTTGTTTGTTATGACCGTTTTTGCGACGTCAGAAAATCCACTCATATATGGCAGATTTCACGGTCCATTGAACAAAACGATTAAAATCATTCTGACAAATCTAATGACGTCATATTAAAAACCATATGTATACTGACCAGCTCTAGTTCCGGGTATACTTTTAAATTCAAATGAGGCTTAATGGACAAGAATACGACCCTACACGATCTTCGATGTATCAATTAACGCATTAGGAAGCATGACGGCCTTCTGCATAATTTATTTTGTCAAATTTTTACGCAAAAAATAATTCAATCAGGCTCATAGGGGATATTATATATGTACAAGGCTTGAAAAGAGAAAACATCTTCGAAATACCCCCGAATACCGCCAATGTAAAAATTACTTAAATGAACACGTGCGGTTGAGATAACAAATTTCAACATGTCAATTTTGCGACATAAGTACTCATATATATTCCTCGATTTTCCGTAACATCAGCCGATGTTTATATTGTGCATATAGGCTTCAAAAATAAACGTATTTGTATATTATCCCCAGTATAATTATGGATATATTTCCCTGCGGAATCGGACTGTTTCACTAATCGATGTGGCTTTATACAATTATCCTTGTTTGTTTTTAATCAGCGTTTTGCGAGATGTTGGTAAAGTGAAAGCCGCGATTAATTAGTAGGCCTATACGAAATTCATTGCTATAGAATTGAAATTTTGAATTTCCAAAATGGTGACAAACAAAAATTAAGAATATTAAAACAAATCTTACCTGTGCTTGTGACGCCATAAACACTTGGATAAGGAGAAATGCACAAATGAGGATTGTAGCTGATCTTTGATTCATCTTGATCTGAAAAAATGGAAGGAATTTAATTCCAAATGGATAACAATAAAAAGTTTCTGTATAATCAGTGTGTAAAATAATATTAAAATTTGAAGTATTTAGTAGTTTAAAATCCGTCAATTTCAACATTTGTTCAATTACCATTAGCACATCACATTATAACACATTTAGCATATGAAATTTTTATTTCAACATATATACAATTTTCCTCAAGTTGGTAAACATAACTATATTCTCACTGAGTGATTCCACAAACTTATATTGTTTGTGTTTAGCAATAATACTAAACAGTTTAAGATATTTCGCAATACATTTTATACAATATATATCCTTGTGTTAGTGTTAAAAAAGTAGTGTTAAAAAATATGACGGCTTCGTCTATTTTTTCTATGTCATTTTCATATAGGAATCAATATATCTCAATGTTTTTTTGGGAAATATAATGTGATTTACATATCTCTGTCGATGTTGGATCGCAACATTGACATAAGGTAAGATAAGACCGCCCTAATCAGTGTGACAGGCGAAAATCTTCTCATTGAAGTTTTTTGACATGGCGTATACGGCAATAGGCGCAACTCATAGCGAGCGACTTATATTGTGTGCGAGAGAAAACGCCTCCTGATACGATCGGCAATAAATTTTATTTGATTTTTAACAATTCATGAGTAATTTATTCATGTCTCGTCGTACAATAAATGCAAATTTCTTGAGGATTGATTTTTTTTTCTTTCCAAATGTCAACAATGTTTTAGGAGATAAGATTTTTTTTAAATTGCAAAAAAATTGCAACTTAAATCGAAATGAACTGCCAGAAAATTTAAATTTACGTTTTATATATGATTATTCAAAAATCAAGTTTTCAATGTTCAATTTACATATACAGATTATTTGAAAATATTTTGAACCAGAAATAAACTAAATAAAATGAAAAATATACATTTTTAATCAAACATTATCCAAATGAAATCTTAGCAATAGCGATCTTAGCTATTGTCTGTTGTTTCGGCTCCTAAACCTTCTAAAATAAGGCATGATAACCATGAATTATTCCCAGAGGAAAAACCTTCGTCTTCGGAAAAATTTTATTCAATTTTATTGGTATAAGAAAATCTTTATTGCCCAAATTTTCTCGCGATTAGGGATTTTGAATTTTAATACTTTCGTACTCCGAAATAAGGTTCGTAATATGTGAAAAGTTAAGGTCCGTTTTTCACAATTTGCCCCACCCCTTATTAAACACTTTATATATTGGCAAATTCCCATTGTGAAATAGAATATGATTATCTAACATTATTCATTTCTAATATATTTTTTTCTATACACGTCAAATTTCCTTGACACATGGAGAAAAAATTATTTTAGCGCTTCCAAAAAAAATTTCACTATTCCATTTAGAGTGGATCTGAGGTTATCTTGAAATCTCTTAAAAAATTTATGTCTCATTTGGCAACATTGTTCTTTTACATTGATTTAAAATATATTGAGCTGCCGCGTGGAAATTTAAAATCAAGAATTTCTCTTTTAATTTATCTCAAAATGGAATTCAAAATTGAATACACCGAATACCAAATATATAGCAAACAGTGACAATTTCTTCTTTCAACTCAAATCTAATAATTACACTCAGTGGTTCTCAAACAATGGTGCGCCTCCCACAAGGTGAGCGAAGACAATTTTTTGAGAGGGCGTGAAGCTAATTAAAAATATAAATATAAATAAAAAGATTTGATCCTCCTATTTTGAATATTTACATTTCAAAACTTTTTCATTTAATATTCACGTTCCATCCACGTATTCTCAACGTGTTTTTCGAACAAGACATACTTTCGACTTACTATATCTGGTATTTGTTTGTAGCTTATTGTTAGCTACCTATTTTTGAGGTTGGCCGCGAGACTTGGCATTTCTAAAAAGGGGGCGTGGCTTAAAAAGTTTGCGAACTACTGATTATACTAATACAACTTGTACTTGATAATTTTACCACATTTTACATTCGTTTTGTTATATGTTAAGAAAATTTGATACGATTCGGAAAAAAAGATTCACAAAATCATAAAATTATTCGTATAACAATAATTACTCTAAGCTAAACTTTACTTATTAATATGTTTTGTAATATATATTCAGAAAATCTGAGATGCTTGCAAAGTAGGAATCTAGAATATCAAATTATTTTTATATATAGACACATTGCATACATTTATATAGATTAATCATATTTGTTTTTTTTTTTATCGAAGAATTATGCGGCGCTGTGAAAGTGTGTGTACCAAGATGGAGGTAACTAATTTTGTTCGCATACTCTACATCAAGTTGTGTAAAGGGACTGAAACCTATGGACAGGGGGTATATTCACTTAGCTAACACAGACAGTTCCCGAACTCGTAATAGAACTAAAATGAGGAAAATCGGGATAAAATTATGGCCTAACCTGGTACACATACTACGAGAGTACCGATTTTTGTTGAAGAGATATCACAATCGAATGTTACGTATAGAAATCCACTTCAAAGTGAGCGATGGGGGAATTAAAAGAAGTATAATGGTTTTAACTTGACACACTATCAACGTGTTGGAATTACACACATTTGGCTTGATCTGTCAAAAAGAGAGGCAAAATTCACCTCTCGCCAACGGTCAAGCACGAAAAATGAAACATTAATTTTAAGATACAAACATGGTCGTACCTGTTAAATTGGATGTAGATATATGATATTCTTTATGATATAATCTTTTCTTCGTTTGTTGCAGCTCTTCTTTTTGTTGGGCTCTTCTGTAGTCTTTGGTTTCTGAAGTCAGAATGAATTTTCCTTGCTCATCCGCCGGCTTTTATAGCCTCCGAAAAAGCGCGCTTTCTTTAACATCTTTGTTACGTCAGTCTTAATTCATTGTTGCGTAGGGAATAATCTTAACGACATCATAATAATTGTTAGTCGCGACAGGTTTTCAACGGCTTTTACTCAATCTGTCGCACACAGAACGTCTAATTCCTCAATTGCTAATTAAACATCGTTTGTATTAGTAAAAGAAAACGGTGCATGCATCGATTACAATATTTTGATCCGGACTCATGGAGAATATAGGTGTTTTAATATTTTATTATGTGTAATGAATCTTCCAGCGTTCTGTTGTTGGGTATATATTATTATACATATTTGATAACTCACTACTAATTACCGCGTCAGACGAATATGGAGAGAATTCTGTGATCCTTAAAACTTCGTACGGGAAAACGAAGAGAAATATAGATATTCCCCAAGGGCGAAGCCGATAAGCTTAAAGGTACCAGATTGGGAACATTGTTTTGTCTTGCTATATCTATTCCATACTCAACCCGGGCAGGCATGAGTTCGAAACATGAAATTTCAAAAATAATCATATATTTTACGTTTATTTTTTTTTAAAATTGTGCGTGCATTTGAGAGATACCAAAATTTTAAAAAGAATCATATATTTTTGAATTTATTTTTACTTGAATATTAGTTAAAATGAGTTTCTCAAAATCCGCGAGAGTGTCACTCAACTCACTTCTCGTTGCTCCCTCTCTGAGTGTTGGTTTTATATCTTCAGTGATGCACCGAGCTTACCCGCTTCGTTCTGAACAAGGCTCAGTACAATCTGTCTGTCACACGTCCAAGTCCATTATTTTTGCAGGATCGGGTTCTCTCCTGTCCCGCATTGCCTACTTAATTTATTACCACGTGGGTGAAATAGTGATCACATGATAGGAATACCGGATCCGTGGCACGGGATGCCAACGCTCCAGACTCCCTTTATTGCATTTATTTGGCCATTTCAAATATAAAAGGATTTAATCTGAAAAAGCTAATAAAGAAAACATATGTTTTTTATTTTAAACCCCCGGAGCTTTCCATAAAAATACTTTTGATGAATATTGCTTCACATTGTGTTTGAATAGCAGCTTACCCTGTTTTTTCTGGTATTTGAAAAAAAAAATTATTTTGAAATTTCAATATTTGCCTCAATGTCATGAAATTCAAATTGTTACGTTATTTATTTGTATTTCTTCCTGGTCGATGGCCCAATTGAGAATCTGAATAGACATTTTTGGTTAACACGTGAATCATTGAATTAAATTTTCGGTTAATAAGTAATAAATATGAAAGAAATTGGCAGTGAATGGGATATTTTTAAAAATCCAGTTATACTGTGAATATATCGATAATCTAATTTTCCGATTATTGTTCTTTCATATACAATACATCGTAAGGAAATGAAGATATCTTACGTCATTTCTAAGAATGATAATATGATAAATGTTTTGAAATCTATCTACAAAACCTATAAAATCCTAATTATAAATAACAAAACTACCATTGTGATCGCGAGTTGAGCATCATGAGTTTGAAACTTGATCAATCCAGTTACAAATATCCACCATAGGTATCCATCCACCAGAATAAATACTTTTCATTAGGAATATTTGTAACCTGTAAGTGCTACAAATAATACTTCAATATGCGTATGTGGTATTTTCAGAATCAATATTGCCATTTAAAAATGCCAATGCAAATTTATAATTCAGTCTTTCTTTCGAATATGAACAAAATAACGAAACATAATACACATCAAGACGTCGTTAAAAATCGTCGGTAAAATAAATCAGCATTTCGGAGTAAATCAATGCTCATAATATTGAGCGTACAAATTGTCCCAGCGGCGTCCGTAAAGTGAGATTTGCACGAAAAGGTCGTTTCAATTCGTGTCAAATGAGTTCAATAAAGACGGTGCTTGATATCGTACAAAAAATGATTAAATTTTTTGGTCTTTTACGTAGCGTTCGAAAAGTCATTTTCTGTCTGTAAATTAAAATTTAATTAATGCATTTCACTTATAATTAACCAGTATTGTAAATACATTATATATATCATTCAATTCTAATTTAATTGTCATCAAACCACGACAAAGGACAAAATAACATTATACGAATATAATTGTGACACAATTCAAACCATAAATGGAAAATCAGCCTGAAATTTATGGATTTGCGGTTTTCGTGATGTAATTCACATTCAAAATACTGTAATAATTGTAATAAAAATATTTGATGGCGTCGGATATGCCTCCAAAAACGATACTCTCGTAGTATGTATACTACCAGGTTAGGATTAAGGCATAATTTTATTCCGATTATCTATATTTTAGTTCTATTTCGAATTCGGGGACTGTTTGTGTTAGCCAATTGAATATACCTCCTGCCCATAGGTTTCAGTCCCTTTATACAACTTGATGTAAAGTAGGCAAACGAAATTAGTTACCTCCATATTTGTACACAAACTTCTGGAGTGCCAAAATAAACATATGAACTCTCCTCGTGTTCGTGAATACTTGTCAGTAGTCTGGTTCGGAGCAAATACGCTAAAATACTCCGTAAAAATTACTGGGGGGGGGGTCGTATGGTGAAGATGGGCCCCGTCTTTAAATAGGCGCGGTGATTGATTGCTTACTTTACATCCATATTTATCAAAAAGTTAGACGAGCGACATAGTTAATGAACATTTTAATTTGGGCCTCAACTTCTGCTTCAAAGGATAAATTTCTCGTCAGTTTGGGATTAACAGGGTGGTCGTTAAAAAACAGAAAGTTTGTCAAACAGCCATTTATTTTTACAAATGATGATTTAAAACTAGCTCGGGAAGAGCTTAGAACGATATCCCACAAGCTAACTTTTAAAACTCTACACGAGCTTAGACTTTTATTGAGCATAATATGAGTGTAATGTGGCATATGCTTTTGAAAAACTTTGTAAAAGTTACTATTTGTAAAAATAAATATTTGTTTGACAATTTTTTTGTTTTTCCAGCGACCACTTTGTATTTTCGGTTTTAATGCTAATCTCACTCATACAGATTTTCAAACTTGGTTGCAAGTATTGGTCATTCTGCATGCCGGGCAATTTTTGTTAGTGGCAGTGATCAAAAATTTAAAAAAAATCTGCTATAGATTAGGTAACAGTACTTTTTGTGGGTGGAGCATGTAAACCAGTTTGCAAGCCCGGTTCGCGTAAACACACTCAAAACAAGCATTAACACTTTTGCAATGGTATTGTATTTTAGGGTCAAGGGTCAAAAATATTCATTGCTTTTTCGTTATTTTAGTAAAATGAACTTATATGACCCCAAATATTACAGGTTACTCTTATCTCTAATAAACATGGCGCTAAAATATTTTTCTGTTTGTGACGCCACAATTGATGTCATTTTCTTATGACTCGGCGACCGATGCCATATATCTTCGGTTTTCCCAGACCATTCAAAATTGTTCTCTGAATAACTATCGTCAAATACTATCTTATTCATACTTAAATCCTAGCGTGAACCGGCATAAATATAATAAACAAACAAACTAAACATGTTTTTAGAGCATAAAATATGCATCATTTGCGTCTAGGATTTCCATTTCTCAAATTTAAAGCTAATTTGGAGGAAATCGAGTCGCTAAAGAAGATCTTGATGGGGAAAATTGCCCCCATTATGCTATAATGAGGAAAAGATTTTTGGTGATTTCCGTATTTCAAGCATTAGCATACAGTGCATGACTATTGAATAAAGTTATATATTGCTCATTCTCTAATAGTTATACAAAATTTTGTATTAAAATTTTTCAATTTTCTAATATAATCGTATACCGTCAATTTACATTATGTGAAAGTTAGAAGTGGGTATTTTTGTGACAAAATTTGTTGACCCAGAAGTGTGTGTACCAATATGGAGGTAATTATTTTTGTCGCCTACTTTTACATCAAGTTGTGTAAAATGACTGAAACCAATGGGCAGGGGGTACATCCACGTGTAATATAGACAGTCTCTGAACTCGTAATAGAACTAAAATAAGGAAAAACGGAATCAAATTTTGCACACACTACGGGAGTACCCAAAATATTATGATAAAATTTTAGTGTTATAGCAATGCAGTCAAATAGTGTAATTTTGTACAAACGTTTATTCAGCGCCCACCATGGATCAAGAATCTAGTCGACCAACCAAGACTTAACTTAACAACACCAGCCAGTAGTAAACGACACCCACGCGGACAAGACCAGGCGATCTAGGTAGGTTTATAACAAGTTCAAAAATGAATTATGAAATATTTCGTTATTATTGAATATGGAATATTATATCAAACACGAAACAAGGTAGATTTTCTCAAATTACTACGTAATTCAAGACTTTTAATAATTTCGTATCCGAATACTGGATAGTTCGCAATTCTAAAAATTTTATATCCTTTAAACCTTTTTTCGAATAATCTGGATCAAACCGAAAATTTCACAGAAAAATGAATTATTCCAAGTTTTACTCTTTATATATAAATGATAATATTTGAATAAAAAAAAGGATATATATTTTTTATTATCTGAATTCGTAACATATGTGTTTTTTGAATAACGTTCAAATTTCGTGCTCAAATGTATTGCGCATCTCCAGTATTTTGGAGGGTCGAGCCATTGACCCGAGTCATCATTTATCAAATACCCGAAGTGCTTCGAGTTATCTAAATGAAATGACTTAGACTCGACAGCAAGTAATCGTCACTGAGACTCAATTCAGTGATTGTCTCGACCTCAAGATGTAGGGACATCACTGTGCATCTCTACATGTTATGATCGGAAAAGGTACAACAATATCCTTAGCGAACGCGTTATTGGTACCGGGGAATATTAATTAATGAATGGATAAACCAGCAGGACTATACAGTAATATAATCAGCTCAATAATGGATTAAATATAATCCTTTTAATTAAAGCTTTCAATAGTCGAACGCAGAAAAAGAAAATCTAATTGAATTTTCTGATTTTTGTAAACGCCCTGATTTTAATCTTGTATTAGTGGTCGCAGATGGTTAAGAAGAATAAATATTTAAAAGGTTCTTCTCGAGTATCGATAAAAAGCATTTAAAGGATTCATTGCGCGTTTTGTGACGTTATAATACACGAGAAACAATGAATTATGACGAGAAAGGTAATAGGATAACCACATCGCGATACAAGACGAACGCATGGTTATTTCGAAACATAATTCCAAGATAATTAGTTTCTTATTTCTAGAGAATGAGAAAGAGCATTAAAACCGTTTTCGGACGTCTATTTCTATATTGCATTTATAATTCTTTCCAATAAGAGCAATGCGCAGAAACCACCATAACATATCTATTTCCGTTCGGCCATATTAGTTACCAAAACTGAGTTATACAAAACGGATAGGCAAATGGAATCTCGGATGCTCTTTCTTACATTTTTGCCAGACGTTGATTCATTACTGCTATCAGCTAATAGAATCACAGAGTCTGAAATCGAAAAATTCTTAATCGAACTTATTACCTATTATGAAATGGCTCTATACTAGCGTTTGAAGGGTGTGGTGGGGGCTCGCTTTAACTGTTTTCATATGAAAAAAATTGATTCTGCGTAACTGACAACTGACGTTCTTACAAAAATCGGGGAAATTTAACCTATTACTTTAGAGACTAAAATCGGCCATGGGACCAATTATAAGATATGTTCGAGAAGAAATATCGTTTATAGATGGTGTGATGGCGTACATAGAATTCTTGATTTTTGAATCAACTTTGAATGTTTTTTGTAAAAAGATTGAATTATTGGATTTTTCATCACATTCATAAAAGAATTTGTGCTATTTCAACATTTTGATAACAGCAACATAAAATCTTTCCAATTATTTTCTGTTGCCTATGGGACTCGACTCGATATTTCGCAATCCTTGAGCCTCAGCGCCACCACGTGTCACTACGTCAGTCTTGTCTTCCATTTCCTCAACAAACCCGGTGTTCAGCACGGGCCTTACCGGTACCTTTGTGAAACGCCACGTTGCTTTATTTGTTGTGTATTCTTGATTTGAATCATTGTGTTCCGCGTTAGCCATTACGCCTTCGTGTCCATATATTCGAACAATGATATTTTTCCTGTTTTAGGCTTTATTAAAGGCGGGGTTTAAAAAATAAACTATTTATCTAGTGCTCTCTTGAATTGCTTAAACGACGACTGCTATTTTTAATTATTTTTTTCACAAAAATTGTCTGCAAACTCAAATAAGAATACTCGGAACCGAAGTCAGTTTCAAAATGTTCTCCAATCCGGAATCAAAATCGAAATTTTTGTAAACCGGAATTTTTTTTTCAAATAACTAGAGTTTGGAGTCGGGGATAACATTTTCTCCGATTCCAAATCTCTGCTGAATGATTTATTTTTATTTTATTCAATGCAGGCACTTTACATAAAGATGGTATATTGAAAGTGACTAATATACACAAATATATACACGATAGTAACAATTAATAATGAGATAAAAATAATAGTAATATATATCAGTGTTTCTATTAGTCGTTGGTCATCAGGTTTCCGGCGCTTATTGTGTGTTGAGAACCACACGCGAGTTAGAAATTTGCTCTCTTCTAACTGTTACAAATCGGTTGTCGTAGTGGGTACTACTTTGGCATGTTATCTCAGAGATCGTGGGATCTCGGTGATTTTAGTTAGGGTTAGGTACCGAATTGTATGATAATGTCTTCATGAGATCGAGATCGCGTTAAGCAAGTGAGATCACATACCAAAGTGGCACCGAAAAATGCCTTTTCTTTGCAAACTCGAAAGTAAGTTGTTAGAATTTTCCGTATATTATAGAAGACTTCGAATTGGTTATTTTGACAATAACAGTTTATTCGGAGAACCTGCCGCTTCAGTTTTCTATATAAAGCCCAGGGTGGCCTTTTTTTATTAGCTTCTATGTACATTTTATCCGGATGCGACAGGTTTTTCTTCTAAGACAGACCATAAGAGGGCTTCATTATATAGCAATCCGACGATTCATGTTCATTTTATAAAGGGTTAGGAGAAATGATATTTTATGCAAAGACGAGTAATCAACTTAATCTTGAGTGTTTATATTTAACATTCTATTAATTCAAATCGAAAGCCACAACTGTGGGAATGTACGAAACTAAAAATTATTGTGTTCGAGATTTGGTAAAATTTTGCCGTAGTCGTGGTCGTAAGTTTTTATCAACTAGGGATCGTATTATGAACGGTTCAAAAATGTATTTTTTTATCATCAAGGTTATAACAGACAATACTATTTCGATCATTCATCCTGCTGTTACAGAAACAGGGTATTGTGGTATAGGCTGCAATTAACTGTCCAGCAGCAACCACAAATGCCAGCCCATTTAACCACGAACATGTTGTTTACAAAAAAAAATTGAAAACTCTGATAAGATTACAGCAAGGTTTGAATGTTTATGGCAATTTTATGTTTTTAAAGGCAAGCTACGCCTGCATCTTCGTGATGGGGTATGCAATGGTCTGATCCCGGATGCAAAACCCCCCATCCCCTATGGTTGCACTGTCCGATATTATCTTCGGTTCCTGTACAACTAACAAAATCGAGCCATAGTTTTCCTGAACCTTTGCCAAAGTGAGAGTTTGTGTAACTACTCACTGCCCCATCATATCCCAGCATTTTGCACGTTACATTTGCATCCTTTATATCCCAACTATGGTGACAAATCGTTCCCCACTTTCCTTCATGTAGTATTTCTACTCTTCCTTCTTTGGGATTGCTGCCACCGATAAGCCTGATACCCACATTGAATTCTAAAGTCTCTGTCAAATATAATAATCAATTTTAGTGTTGTAGTTATATTTTGATATCAAATCCAATGCTAGTCATCATTACAGCAATAAAAAATCTGTTTGAGATTATTTTGGAATTGACCTGCAAAAAAAATGTTTGTCCATATGAAAATTTGTTACTCCCGTAGTATGTGTACCAGGTTTTACGGTTAGGGCATAATTTTCTTCACCATTTTCCGTATTTTAGTTCTATTACGAGTTCGGGGACTGTCTGTGTTAGCCAAGTGAATACCCCATGCCCAAAGGGTTCAGTCCCTTTACACAACTAGATGGATAATAGGCGAAAAAAATAGTTACCTCCATTTTGGTACACATACTTCTGAAGCGTCGAAAATTTTGCCAATTCAGCATTGCGAGTTGAAAACTTACATAATACTAATATAATTGACAACTGATAAAAATAGTTTCAAGGCTCATAGCCGCTAGGAGGGGCTCGCGTGACATAGGTTTTGATAGCAGGGCAGTGACGTAGCTACACAAGATGATATTATTTACGTGTTCAACAAACGCTTCTTTTGGCTTACACGAGTAAATTGCGTTCCCCTCACTATAGTTGCCATGACTATAGACCAGAGATAGGCAAAGTATGGCCCGCAGGACAACTCCCGCCCGTTGGGTAATTCAATCTGACCCTTCTGATGCTGCCACCACCAAACTGAAACCAAATTTTGATGTTTTAGCTAAAAATAGCTCAAGGAATTTGTTGAGATTTCGGTTAAATTTAGTTTTGACAGGAGGGTTATTGTTAACTGGTAGTATGACGTCGCGGCATCGTGGTGTTTTATTACAATTCAGAACCTGATAATGTTTTCAAATTGCAGTTTGTATCGAATCCGATTATATTGAAGCTCAAGATTATATACTTATGTTTAACACAGATTTAATGAAATGTTGTCGCCATTGATTATGGCTTCATAATGCATGCCGCCCAAATCCTCGTTTTGCATAATACAAAGTATGATGCTGTACTGCTGTTTTAAATTTGTACACGGGATCTATCAAGAACGGATGCCTATTATTCTTACTTGTTTTCAGCTCTTATCATCCGTGTTATCTCAATTAAATTGACAATCTGTGCATACGTGCAGAGTTACAAGGGTTTACTCATCTAATTAATATATATTCCAATAAACCGTCAGAAGGGAGTCCAGCGACTCGCCATTTATGTACCTGAATCATAAATATCGATTTTACATTATGACGTAACATAAGTAACTCACCGATCGTTTGTTGCATGGAGGAGATGTTCATTGCTAGTTCTAGAACTAGTTCTTCGGAATTCTTAATCAGGTCAGTCAAATTTATCTGAGAATTCACTGTTAATTGAAAGCAAACGTTAAATGGTTGGTTCGTAGAATCTGGCATAAGAAATAGTCTTGTGCGGATTCGGGACACCGGCAGTCACGTCTGTTCTTCGAGTTGACTTCGGTATCGTAATATCGGCTTTTTAAAGGTATCGGTATTGCCGTCTTTTCTTGGTATCGGTGAAAAAACGGTATCGGTACAGTCGTGATCGTGACTCTAGCAGCGTGAATAAATATTAATAAAACTTTCAGTCAGTGTTGAGCTTTTTGTGTAATAATTTTTAAATTCACGGCGATTATCAATAGTGCTTGTAAATTCCTGTGTTTGGGGTGGCTGTGGAAAGACCCGCCCAAACATCCCCCGTGATTGCGTACGTCTTGACATTTCTCCGACGTATCTTTATTATTTCCTAAAGATGATAATTATGGCGTAATATAAGGAACTCACCGATCGTTTGTTGCATGAAGGATATGTTCTTCGCAACTTGTTCTCCGGAATTCTTAATCAAGCCGATCAAATTTTTCTGAGAATTTACTGTTAATTGAAAACAAACGTTAAATGGCTAGTTCGTGAAATTTGAATTAATTAAAACCCTTTTTTTTCACTCAAATAATACCGTACAAGCATCCCAATTCAACAACAGTCGTTAAAAATTGTCAGCCAACGATCAAGGGGGCGGCATTGGCATGGGCGTCACGTATATACGCCATTGCGCTGAGGATAAAAATAGGCCATGTCTGCAAATGGGTGCAATCGAAGCTTTTATTTGCATAGATATTTCGAAGCCATTTTGATGATTTTTTTTATTTATCAAATAAAACATACATATTACGTCATTTGCAATTCGAGCGCTTTTCTTATGTTTACTATAGATTCGATAATGATTGTCTTACCTCGTTTATCATCTAAATCTGCTAAACCCTTTGCAATCATTTCGTCTCTTAGAGACAATCGTTGAATGTTCATGGCCTGACTTTGAATGCGATCGAGTAGTTGCTTTGAGGAAATCGTTTCCTTCTTTTGTTCGCTGGTGATGTTTTGTAAGATCATGATTTCTAAACAAAATATTATAATATCGGAAACATTTTTATGAACGGATAATCGCTTAACATAATATAGAATAAGAATTTTTTGTGTGTACCAGCTACCTTTATTCCGATTTTCTTTATTTTAGTTCTATTACGAGTTCGAGGACTGTCTGTGTTAGCCATGTGAATATTCCCCCTGCCCATGGGTTTCAGTCCCTTTACACAACTTGATGTAAAGTAGGTGAACAAAATTAGTTACCTCCATATTGGTACACACACTACTGGAGCGCCGAATTCCATATTTAACACGGACAGAGGAAAAGCGGTTCAATCATATGGATTTTTGTTTCAGTACTATCAAAGAGTACTTTAGCGGAATAAACTCCGCTGTCTTTCGCAGAGGACAATAAACACACAATATCTGTGATGCCAAATGTTCCAATATTTAAGAGTTGCACAATTGAATTCGCTTAATTGGCAATTAATTGAAATACACTTAAATTCCTAAATAACGATTGGAATCCAAATTGAGATTATCACAAGAAATACAGTCGCCTTTACAATTTCAATCATTTGTCATGAAGTTCGGCTTCTCAATATATCCTTAAAACAGGTTTTTTGTTTTATAATCAAGTAAATTGTTTAAGCGATGGTCAAAACAATACCATGATATCGATATAATTCCATTTGCATTTTAAAATTTTTGAGACTTCATGCGACATCATAATATATATATCATCAGAGAACGCAGGAACGCCTTTTGAAACTCTCGGGGGTAGTCATTTTAGACAAACAGTGGTAATCGAAAGTAGGAATTTCAAATGAAGTTTCTAAGGCATTCTACAATCAAAGGAGCTCGCAGCACGCTAAATGGGGGTTTTTAGTTTTTTTTGGATTTAGAAGATCGAAGTTTTTAAACGGACTAGGATTTTTGAAGTCAAGTGTGAATATGCCAGAGCGTTTATCCGTGGTTTTAAATATACGATTCCTAATCCTTCGGGGCGGGCTATATTATTTCACATTAATTCAGTGATTACTAAGAGCCATGTTTCTTGGATCATACTAACGGCATATAATGGAAATTAGGTTGCAATATAAGCTAACCTTCGTTTGCATCTCAAGTTTAGTTGTCGCCTGTGCAAAAAAAAAAAAACAAGATTCACTATGTTTTTGTGTCGAGTCTTTGTTTATGAACTGAGTAATGACTGTAAATTAAAGAAGGATTTGCTTATTGAAGCAGCAAATTGATAACTTTGGGCAAAATATTTTTAATTTCGTGTAGTCCCACCACCACACATCATAGAGTCAGTCGGCAGCTAACTCCGAAAATAAGAACGATAGAAATGATTCTAAACGAAAGCATTTTTATTCTATTTACATATTAATAACAAGTAAAATATACAAATTTTAAAACAGGGAATATACAAGTATGGTAATTCTTTGTAGTTGGGAAGTTTCTATTATACGTATCTGCTGACTTCCGGCAACGTATTACTAACTCTATATTGTGACGGTCACCATGCGGATGTCGCAAGAGTTAGATTTCAAATATTCTATTTACAGCACGGTCTTTTCCATCGACATTGTTTTAGTTTTTTGCTAGCTTGACAAAAATAACTCAATTCTACCAAGTTGCACAACGAAACAAGTTAAATATTATTAAAATAATAATAGTGATACCTGAACCAAGAAGATAGTGATGCATATAAGGCAAACAAATAACAGCGACATAAGAATCAAGAATCCCACGGTTTTCCCAATATTCGATCTTTTTCCACTTGATTTAATTCCTTACTCTCAACGGCAACTGTACCTAAAAGATTGGGAAATTACACTAGCAAATCAAAGTTTCGCAGCGCCTGTGATTTTAAACACTGAATTTCCCATCTTGCCCTTTTTGAAGTGGAATCTAGAGTCTGTAAGTTTTTTTCCAATTTTTGATTGAATCTGGGTTATTTTAGATATGATTTATTAGTGGCTTGTGTGAAATGTGTAGTGTGAAATCACAATTTTGACTTTACCTAACTTACACTCATTCCACTACCCCACGGGTGTGCAACCTTTAATACAGGCGGGCCAGATACAAATGACTGGGTAAAAAGGCGCGGACCTTTATTTGAGATAAGCTTTCTAATAGTTGCAAGAACAAAACGAGAATATCGGCAAGAGACCGAAGACTTATCGATCGAAAGTTAGGGAATCCCCCAAAACAGCGCTCCTATTCATAGTGACACCTTGTGTCCCATCACTAATTAATTAAATAACTCGCTTAATTATCCGACATAGTTCATCCAAAATCAATAGGCTTCTGGTACGACATATGATGAATGCACATGCAAAATCTGGAGCAGATTCAATATCGCTTTCGTGAGATATCGCGTGCATCTAACAGACAGACAAACAAACAAACAGACAGACAAATACCTATCAACATACTACCGATATGTAATAACATTGTAACGTCATAGGCTTAGATATTAAATTAGAGCTTGGTATAGACTTTGCAAACGCAAAAAGATTGGAATTACTCGCTAGATCAAACTAAGTTTGAAACTTGTTTCGCGGGCGCCGCAGACTATTCAAAATTGGCAACTCACCTGCGGAACGCACAATCTTTTTTTTGCGGGCCGCATTTGGCCCGCGGGTCGCAGATTGCACAACTCCCTAATTAATAATGAACAAATGAGCAATGCTCAAATGTACGGACACTAAAGTCGCGTTTCAGTAAGGGCAACAATTTGAGTAAAACATCGGACTATGGGACTCTGAGAAAATTAAAAAAAAATAAGTAACGGCTTTTTAGCGGCTCCTTGCATCTTTAAACTCTCAAAATTTAAATTAGACCATCATTAGCGACCCTAACAACCACAACAACAATACAAGATTAAAAAAAAACGATTCAAATGTACACGTGTCCAATAACGATTTTACCTGTTTCAATATTTTCCTCCATTTGTATAACACCAGGAACGGTATTTACGTAAATAGGATCTTTGGAATGGTTCGTCTTGTTTGTTGAGACCCAAACGCCATATTTTCACTTCCAGCATTTGGATGAAATCTGACTATCGGACATTCGTAAGCCATAGCTATTATTTCCTATTTGTTGTCCTTCGCAAATAGAGGTATATGAAGTGAAAGTTTAATTTTTTTATTATTATATATATATATATATCATAAGAGATTCGCAATGAAATGCATTCGTTCGGTGCAAGTATTTAATTACACTTTAATAGGTTAGCACATTTAGTATCCAGCATATAGCTCAAATATTGATTGCAAAATCTGAATTTTGATTGTTTCTATAGGGAGGGGTGAAGAAGGGTTATTACTGGAGTCGCAGTCGTTTTTTTTCGAACTTTCGAATTTTTTGGATTTGTTTGAGTCTAATCTTCAAAATTTTGAGTGGTATAATTGAATCAGATTCCCTACGGAAGCTCAAGAAAAAATTTAGTTTTATTGAACGTTCTTCAGTCTCTTATGGAAGGGTATGAATACGCCTAAGTTTTTGTTATCAAGATTTGATTTTATCGGTAGTTCGGAGCTGGAGTCAAA